TCTGCGGATGATGTCATCAAGTGGGAGCATATAGATAGTGAAGAGGAGGGGACCACGAACAGAGCCCTGAGGAACACCGCAAAAGACGGTGCGGGGGGAGCTAGAGGAGAAACCGTTTGTGGAGATGAAATGGAGGCGGTGTGAGAGGTACGATCAGAACCATTCAAGGGCATCACAGTGGATGAAGATAGAGTGGTCAATGGTGTCGAAGGCAGTAGAGAGGACGAGGAAGCAGAGGAAGCCCTGGTCGCAGATGGCCAGAATGTCATTTGCCACTTTGCCCAGGGCTTTGATAAATTGCAAAGTTCAGCTAAACATGAGTCATTGAATAGATTTTCTCCCATTTTTCTAACAAAAATGCAATTATGCAATGCATTGGGAATTAGGTAAGCAAGAGATGTCTCTCTGGGGAGAGAATGCACATTCCTTTCCAAACACGGGAATTTCCATGTGTAGGTGGCACGATTGGAACTCTCTGGTTTGGATACTCTTAAGAATGGTGATGGATTTCCACGTATGTCGGGTACCTGGCTGATCAAAAAAAAATGGAGTGAGAACATTGTTGTACTAAGTCCAAAGCATGTTGTTCTTCCTCAAAGAATGTAATGAGCATCAAACTCAATAGTGAATTCCTTAGCTGGAAATATTTTGCCCACCAAATATACAGTCAATTCATTTTACAGTATATTCTGTGAAGCGCTTTGAGACGTCTTAAAGACAAGATATGATAAGGCGCCATATCAAATGCAAGGATTATTTTATTTATCGATTGTATGGACATTTTGTTCAAGTTGAGGGATATTAGTGAAGGTAAGTAGAATGAATCCTGTTATTGCAATAAGTAAGGTACTGTGTGAAGACAACAAGCACATTTAAATGCAGTATAATTTTTGTTCTCCTAAACCTCAATTTCAGATGAGCACTCGTGTCTCTGTGCGAGATTTTTTTCACTTCCCACAGCAGCCGTACTGCAGCCCCATTGTGCAGTATTAAGAGCAATTTTAGTTTGTAAACTCATGCCAACTAGAATCTTCTGCCGAAATGTAGAGCCTAGATTTTCCCTGTCATTTTAGACTCTCCTCACACTAGTGATCCACTTTGATATCAGAAGTCTGTAAGTGGTCATTTTGGCAGTGAATGCTCATTTGGACGCTTAAGACTATGTTTCCCATAATTTAATGCGTTTTGAACCATCGTCACATGTACACTTACCATCAAGCATTGGAATCGCATTGAATCACTGGAAATGAAATTCTTCTACGTCAATGGGTCAGGACGTCATTTCCTGGGATTCAATGCAGCCGGTAAGTGCAGGAGTAATGAAGGATAGGGGAGTGGCGTTATGAGTTAGGAGATGTCTTTGTACTTCTTACTGGAATGATTCCAGTGTTGGAGTAATGTTAATTCATTCCTGGGGCTACATTTGCAGTCTATATTTGATCTATCTTGCCAGTGTTTTAGCAGTAAAAGAATGATGCTATATCAAATGCAAAGCTAATTAGTGTCATAAAACAACTATTGTGATGGTTTTGTTTGTGCTCTTTGTGCAGTTTCTTACAGACATTTAGCAATACGCACTGGAACAACATTAGGTTGCTTTCCAACACATCTGTGCACCTGTTCTTAAATCTTTTAACATTTTTCATACTCAAGTTATAAAGGAAATCAAGTTTGTCAACATATTTGCAAGTTTCATCCAGTAAAGCTGCAAGCCTACAAATGCACAGTCACTTCACTTTACAATAAATCTTGTGAAACGCTTTGAGATGTTTTGACATATGTGATGTGGTGCTACATCAAATGCAAATATTATTACTAAATTATTATTGTGGTAGTTTTATTTGTGCTCTTCATGCAGTTTCTTACATACACATTTAGCATTAGACGCTAGAACAATATTGGTCCCCAAATTATATTAGGCTTAAATATAAGATAGCTTCTAGCAGATCTAAAAGAGAGTTTAGTAGAACATAACGGATTGTGTGCCAGCATCATGCGATTAAAAGGAATCACAATGCATACACGAGGGAGAAGGGAATAGAGAGGTATGATGGGGAATAGGGAGAGGGGATTAGGATGGATGGAAGCTCATGTGGAGTATAAACACTAATGGACTAGTTGGGACAAACGGTCTGTTTTGGAGCTATATAGTCTATGTAATATATAATTCTACGTATTATAACTGGAAAGTTACAACTAACCAATTATTTTGTGACCATTGATACTTTACTACAAAAATGCTGACAGTATTATCTGTCAGTCAGCGATCTGTCAGTACCATAAAAATTATCAAAACAAATGTACAGGAACTACTCATCTCCCTTCCACTCCTGGAGTAAAATTCCACTGCTCTTAAAATTATAACTATGTAGCTATCATAGATTGCCCATTATTGTTGTAAAACCTGCACAGCACTCTAAATGTGAATGTAACTGAAGTGTGATGATTAAAATATACAGATTTCTATCAACCAGATATTTTATTCATAATTTTCTTAGTATGATAATTATTAATGTCGTCATTAACTTGATATCCAATCTCTACTTGTATTATGTGTTAGAGATATTAAACTCTTAAATGAATGAGCAGCGCTATGAAACGCAGAACTACATTTATGGCAGGAGCACATGTGATGTTATAGAATATACCTCAAAATCCTATATTTAGCAACAGTTAAGCAAGCTACGGCTCCTCAGCATTGAAACGGCATGCCTCAGAGGAAACATTAAGAGGGATATAAGATTATAAATAGGATTAAGAAAGTAAGCCTAGAGCAATAATTTCAGACACTGAAGGCAGCAGAACAAGAAGACACAAGTTCAGGTTTGCAAAGAGCAATTTCAGAGCCGACACCAGGATGTATTTCTTTATTTAGAGGGTAATTAATGACTGGAAGAGGTTACCAAGAAGCGTGACTGAAGCTAGGATGCAGGACTCAATAAAGGAAAGGCATGTTGCTGAAATCGGAGGATGGCATGGTAGTGTTCTGGAAGGGTGAGATCAAATGAGTTAAAAGGCCTTTTTTATCTGAAACTTTCTTGTAATTTTGTGATATCCTTAAAAATATGTGCAGAGAAGGTCAGCATCAAAGCTTCACTCTTCCCTTCTGCCTTTGGAAAGGACCTGTAACAGCAAACGTTGTTTCTGGAATACAAAAGTTCAAATACGGAGTTGTAACTTGTTAAAACAGGATTACTGCCCTTATGACTCGCTTTGGTAATGTGACTGGCCAGTTAGGACCCCGGTATAGTTACTCTTAAGTGTTTCAGTAAAAACAAGAATCAAATTGCACAAGATTGCAAGAAAGAATTTTACTCTCTTCCAACTACTGCATCAAATAAGTCCGGTACTGTTGGCATTGAACAGCCAATCCTATTAATTCCTCCAAGTATTGATCACCTTCTTTGTAAATAAATTCTGTGTATAATTGTGAACCGTGATAAGAGTTACTTGTCCTGATTACTTGATTGTTACAGTAGCTGAGATCCATGGTTGAGGTACAACAGAACTTCTGCTCCTGCCATGGGGCAAATAGCATCCAATGAGGGGCACTATATAAATGAGTGTTGTTATAAATTGCTTCTTTGTAACAGTTACTAAAGTGCCACAAACAGCTGATTGTCAAACTTGCAAAGTCTATGTTTCAACCACTGTTGACAAAATGCTGACACAGTGTTGCTGGAGTTAGAGACAGAATTTTTGCAGTTCCTTTCCAGTAATAGATGCCGTCAGCTGTTACAACGGCTGTCCTCATCCTCCTATCATGAAGCCTTTTCTTTTACTGAACACAGACATCGTTTTAAATTTTAAATCCCATTACCCTAGATGGGGCAGGGAGTTTTACTCCGTGTAGGGTGTCTACCTTTGACTTAATTTCTTCCTTTAAATAACTATGTTCAACAACAGATGTTGGGTTCAATAACAGATGATGGTCAAAAGGTTATGTGAATGGTTCTGATAACCCAAGTTTGGATCAAAGTGCGTCTTACAGTCTCAATGGAATAACAGCATTTTAAGCTACAGCAACATTCTGTATGTTGTAGAGTCCCGAGTTATTCTAAAATACTTTTTTATGCAGTTTTATTGTAGAGAGATTGTAGTCGAATCATGATTTTGAAAAGGTACTATGACTGGGAAAGGAGGTTCTATTGTGCAGGTGTGTTCATATCGAGTGGTTTTTACCGACCTTGGTTTGGTATGTTTGTTTTTGCTTTTGTAGTGGCGTAAACACAACTTAAGATGAGGATTTAATATCTTTGCATAATGTACTCGCAGTTTGAATAAATTCCTGATTTTGGAGACCTTTGTTTGTCTTGTTCATTTATAGAATTATAAGATTATAAGAATTGTTAAAATATTTTCTACCTATAATGTATGATTTTTTTTAGTTTTCAAAACTTTCCCATAGAAAAAAGTTCTTTTTGAGCTGGACTTGAGCTGAATGGTATTCTCTGGTTCAAGGAGTTATGGCTTTAAACATACAGGAGAATTGTTTTCACACACAGCATAGTTGGGATGTAAAATGTCTTCCTGACAATGGTGGTTAAGACAGAATCCATATTGGCTTCTAAAAGGGAACGTGTTAAACACTTTTTTTTAAAACAAAAGTCAACTACAGGGGTTTGGGGACAGGGTAGATAAATGGGAATAAAACCGTTGCTCTTAACAGAGCCTGCACAGAAACACTGGGCCAAGTGGCCTTCTTTCTTGCGGTAAATCTCTATGGTTCTGTTCAGAGAAGATAGGGCAGATAAAAATAACAGGATTACCTTAGCCATTAAAATTCACGTGTTTAAAAATCAAAAATTCAGACTATCAAACAGAAGATTTGATTCTGTATTCTTAATTTCCATTTAACTTTAAAATACCAATTCCATACATTTTAGTTTTGAAGTTTAATTCAGTTGTGAAAAATCAAAGTGTGTTTGGTGGGTCTTTTTAAGATTTATTTTCCATCATACAGAAATGTTGTTTTTTAAAAAAAATATTTTATTTTTCAGCCGGAGAGTGAAGTGTCAACAACAGCTGAAGACTATACATCAGAGGTAGATATTTTGTCATAATAAAAAGGAAATGTAACCTTTTAGAGTTTCAAACAACTTGGAATGACATGCAAATGAAGGTTTTTTGGGTGAATGTGTTTTAAGCTTCTGTATATTTTTAAAAATACTCACCATTAGCATCTGATTGCCAGTCTGATGCCGCAAAGTGTTAGAAATGACGAATGGGATGATTGAAGGTATGCAGTTCAAGAGTTCATTCACTCTTGTCTTACTGCTTGCAGATCCAGTATCTATAAAGTGCTCTAATTGAGTGATGACGCACATAGGTACTTGCGCCTAAATACAAGAAGAAATGCAGGCAGCAGCTGAATTTTCTTCTGGGGAAAAAAGAAGGAATATGTGCTTTTATAAGAATATTTTGCTCTTTCCCTACCCCAGTTACCAATGGTGCTTTGTGGATAACAGATGGTTCTGTGGATAAAAGCTGTTTAGTGTGACCAGTGCCTCTCTTGTTTGGAGGTGGCTATCATCCTCTTGAGATTGCAAACGCAATAGATTTCTGGGAGCAAACCTGTATCCCGTCACTCTTTTTGGTGTTCCCTCCCGTGCTAACTTGTGTGTGTTTAAGATATCTTTGTGTATTTTCTTGCCATTTTGTAGTTGTGCTTTTTATAAGGTTAACAACATGCTCAGTTACTCATTTGTTTTGTTTCTTTTATGCATTGGTAATTTTCCTTCCCTGTTAAATTTATTTTGCGTTTTGATAAACATTTTGTTCAGGACTATATTTGCACTTGATTTATTCAGAAATGAAATTGTTTTGACATAGAGGATATTTGTAATTAGTGTGTGTTTGTGTACATGGCTTTGAGCAGTTGGCTTGATTTTGTCTCATCTTTGTGAATGCAAATGTCACACATCATATCATGCCAGACTTGGAACAGCAAAAAATTACTTACAATTTGCAGATGAATGCAATTTTCCATAATTTAAAAGGTTTTCAAAATTGCTCATCTTTCTCTTAAAAATAAAAAATGCATTTGCAGTCTCATAAAACTCAGTGTGTCTTAGTAGACATGCCCCATTCCAATGTGGCTGAATCAACTTTTGTTTCATTAGATAGTATTTTATTTAAACACATGCGATTTGGTAAGTAATATTTCTATGTGTAATTATTTTTTTAAAAAAGGGTTAATTTAATGATCCAAAATGTACTTATTGGTATCTTAGTTTATGCTTATGTTTTAATTTCTAAACAGAATTCAGGTTAGATGCAGTTTGGGAGTAAATACGTTTTGTGGATGTCTCTTGGTGAGAAAACAAATGTTAAGAATGGCTTCCTAAAAATTAGAGCATTGCTACACAAGTTTAATTTGTTGTGACTTTTGTGTTTTCCTATTTTACATCTTTGTTTCTGTATTTTGAGATGGGAAAGGGGATGCTTGTCATAAATTTATGTTTATGTCTTTTCCAGAGATTAAAAAAATCACTTCCATCCCTGAGTATCTATATAGAATACTGCTCAATTTTTATTTCAATGGAAAGTTTATTTTTATAGACTTTTTTATTTTTGTTAAAACTTAATTGAATATATTAAGAATTTTATTGCACTAAATGTCAACAAAAAATGTGTTCTTTCGTTTTGCATATTGTATGAAAGAAAACAGATATATGTTGTGGGATAGTTATCAGTAGTTTTATTTTCTGTAACATCCAATCTGGTATTAAATATTATTGCTGTGTTGACCAAAGAATGTTTTTTACAAATGGATGAAAAATTATTTAAAATACATTGTTTACTTTGCACAGACCAATGGTTGCTATACAGTACAATACGGAACAATATTTAAACTGGAAGATTTAATAAGGGTACAGTATGAAATAATATAACTTATAGGCATATTAACCTGCTCCTACTTAATGAGATTTCAGTTTGGCTATGCTGGTTTCAAAGCTAAAATCCACATCCTGCATCATCTACTAAATAAATCTTCAATGTCCAATTTTATTAATCGTCATCAGCATATTTCTGTTTTAAAATATATAATTGGTTATATGATTTATTTAAACATTCACTGGCCAAGTGACTTAAATACTATATAGAGTACTTTCATCTCTAAGTCCATTTTAGACAAAGTTTCCACTTTGTCTAAACTGTAAGTCATAAATGAGAGTCTAGGTCCAGATCTTGGTGCATCAATACATAAGACAAAACTATCCAAAATTCAACATTAATGACCACAATTTGAGAAATTGAAATTCCACACTGGTGCGTTTGGGGTAACCTCAGTGATATTGGTTCAGAGTGGAAGACTTGCTCTGCACCTGGCCTTTCTATTCTTAATTTTGGCATATAGACATTAGATACCAAAGTGAACCATAATTTCTGGCTAAATTTTCTTAATTTGTTGTAAACATCCAGAAAATTATAATAATAATCTTTGCATTTGATATTGCGCCTTATCACATTGTTGAGCCATCTTAAAGAGCTTCACAGGGTATACTGTAAAGTGGAATGACTGTATTTTGTAGGTGAAAAACAAAACAAGTTAATTTGTTCCAAAGTTCCCAATGAACATTTTCTGGAATTATGCAGTGATCATTTTTAGCCATTCTGGGTGGCAGAAGGTTAATAGGGCCTATTACATTACTAGCTAACTAATATATTACCAGGATATTAATCCATCATTTGTCTAGATAATTAACAATGCTACTAAACTGCTTTACTACACCATTGGTGAACAGGGTATATAAATGGGCTCCACACTACACCACCTAATATGCAAGTACAAAGTTTTGATGTCTTTTGTAAGGGAGAATACTCTTGGAAAACAATCCTCTTTCTTTCAATAGGGATGACTTTAATTCCTCCTCACAGGAGTAATTTTTACAAATATTTTACCACTGACCACATTGCAGTTATATTTGTAGTGCAAGCTACAGAAAACAAAAGCTCTTCCTCCAGATATAGCCTGTCTGTACAATTTGGAGTGTAGGTTCAATATTTTAAAAGTAATGATTTAAAAAAAGCCTATTCTGCATTGTTCTAAAATGCGGCTATTGTGAGCACCAAGAATAAAAGCCAAATCGATGAAGCTTTCAACAACAGCAGTTACAGCTTTTATTTTTCAGAATACAGTGGTTTTTAACTTGTATTTTAAAAATAAACATTTCCTACATTCCCACCTTTCACACAATTGGTGATTTATACTGCGATGATGTTGCTCCATTGTCAGCAGTCCACTGGTACTTCACTGAGTGGCCATTCTTTTGTTGCCCTTTCTTCTCTTTTGGGCTCTGACTGTGGTTCCAGGGGTCCGGGAAGGGCCCAAGTGGCCATAGTTCCATGCATGAGGCTTCACAGTGAGTGTCGGAACATTTTTTGACAACACCAGACATGACAACTGAGCCTCATTCGGTCTTTTCAGGCATCCATACATGGGCAATATCTAGGATGGGTCACAGGACAGATCGTTGATTGTAGTATTTTAAATGCTATCTATCCTGCCCAAGGTGAGCTCACAGTACAAACTGGAAATGTAACTGTTATCTTTTGAACTCTATGGCTTAACAGTAGACTGGTTAGTATTTCTATCCATAAGACTATCAGAGAGACCCCCAAGTACTTATTCTTTAAGCATGAACTTAGGCAATAGGCTTTTTGACACAGGGTCATCATAGTCGATCCTGAAATTCACGTGTGCATTTTTCAGCATGATAATTAAATGACAGAGAGGAGCAAGCCATGACCAGTTATTGTTTTCTCTTTCCCTTGTCCAGCAATGGCGGCCTAAAATGTAGCACCATTACTGCTCCCCTAACTCAGGAAAGATCAGGCATTCAACCTGGGGACCTTTCTAGTCGATGATGATTCTGTGGTACACTGCAGTCATTTGAAGGGTTAGGGGTAGGATTCTGATTTTGCTGGTATACTTCATTAAACATATCCAGGAGTGATGAAATATTAATGACTGTTTTTAGCATTACCCATCAGAAAGTGTAATGGGTGTTCCTGCAGGTTTCAAACTAGACAGATGCATATAAATGTTCTTGAAGTGCAAATTGCTAACAGTGGTTGCTATAGTGATAAATCGACAGTAGCTGCATGTTTTAATGTTAAGCAAACTTGTTTCATATGAAATGCATTTTTTTTCTATCTGTTCCTTGACTTTGAAGATAACCATTGTGATACAATGAGGTTTGATTAATTTAAATTGGTTTAGGAAGATGAATTCAGCATGTCAGAAACTCGTTCTGAGCACGACACACAGCCCACTCAGACAAGGCTGGAAACGATGGAGGAGGAATTGACTGCAAAACAACAAGAGATTGAAGAGCTGAGCAGGGAACTTGAAGAGCTGAGGGGTCTATGTGGTACAGAAGGGTTGCAGCAGGTACATTTCCATATATCTAATTTGCATATTTTATAATGTTTTACTTTATTTTTTAAATTCTTCACAGTTCAGAATATTGACCAATTTGTTTCCATTTCGATATATAAATTTACAGAAGTTTATACAAAATATACGGTGAAAAGTTCAATGCAGAGCTGCCAGATTTTTAAAACAAGTCTTTCATGCTGAGAGCTAAATCAAACTTTTTGCATTTTCAACGGCAAGTTTCAATTTCATCTCAGTTTCAGGCTAGTTCTATGCATATTTCATTGTTGGGTGACCTTGTTTTGGAAAAGGACAAAGAATAGCAAATGACATGAGAATAGGATTTTTTTGTCAATGTTGGTCTTTCCTTGTTGTTGGAGTCACCTGAATTTCTTTTAGCTTAATTAGTATTTTGCTGGTCTCCATTTAAATTCTGTTTTGTTTTTTTGCAGTATAATATTGAGGCTTTCTACAAATATCCCTCTCTCCCTCCCTCAATTTCATCTAACACCCACTCACTTACAGCCATTCTAGCAGTCGCTAGCTAATAATCAGTTTACCCTAATTGTGTGCTGCAAAACATTTTAGCAGTTTTCCCCCTTCACTCATCATTGCTGCCTTGGCTAAGAAGAGCTAACTCAGTACAGGTGCAGGATGGAACCTTCCTTCTGTGTCCATATGGGTTCATTTCACACACTTCATTTTTATGTAAATGAGCATAAACATGAACTTAAAAAGAAAAATACAAAAACTATTTTGAGATCAGAAGCCCATTTTAAGGAATTTGGTTTGTGATCAGGTCCTGTTCGTCCACCCAACGTGAAAGGAGTTACATAAATGTAAAAATTGTAATGCATTACATTTAGAACTTTCAACTACTGTGCTTAATCTATTTAACCCAGGAAACATGCAATTCTTTGACCAAGTGTGATCAAACCTTTGATAAGAACAGAAGACCAGAAAATAATTTATAATCCATAAATTATCCGATTTTTGAATTAATGCAGAATTGTACCATTGTAAATTTACAAGCATTCCAGTCAAATTAAATGCTGAGAGTGATGTACATTTGCTGCTGCATGTAATCTGCCAAATTGCTAAATTAAAATATGTGACTCTTGGGAGCGGCATAACCCAGTATGAGACTCCAGCTGTAGCTGCATACAAGTCACAGTATTCTCTAATGACTTTCTAATATACCTGAATAAAATAACAAAAATAGGCATCTGTTAATGTATTATTCTATGCTTTACAAAGTGCTGTCAGATTTAACTAAAGAAATTTGAGCAGTCTCAATTGAGCTACAAAGCTGAAAGCCACTATTCGTATCTATCTCAGTCAAGATATTAATTTAAAATACTGCCCAATGTTTAAACACAGAATAGGGAATTTGTTCTGAAATAAAATAATCCCTGTCCGATCTACATAAATCTACATAAATCCTTGTCTCCATGGGCTGTTTGTCTGCTGTTGCTTCCCCCTCCCCGCCCCCCCCCCCCCACCATGTTCTTACAGCATTTAAACTATTCAAATAAACAAGATAGAATAGTTTGAATAGTGTGAGTCTTTGTGCAGCAATTCATACCCTGCTGGGTAGAGGTGGGATAACAATTATACCCTATGTACAACACTGTAAATTAATCTTGTTCAGATGATTTATAAACCAAACTTCAGAGCAGAGTGTCATTTGAACAGTGGGATTATCCTGATCCAACCCCCTGCTCAGTTACAAATCCCTGACTGTTCAGCGGCTGGAGACATCCTCTCGACGTGAAAGGCGCTATACAAATATAATTTGTTGTTGTTATTCTTTCTAATGTTGACTATTATATTTTGTTTAAAAGGTCTGCTAAACTCATAAGATTATGGTTATTTTAAAGAAAACAATATAGTTAAAGTATTTACATGGGTTTTGTCACTATTCGTACTTGACCTATGAATATGAATCTAAAAACTTTTCATTAATTTAAAATCTTTTTAATAATGACGAAAACATTTTAAGCCATTCCCCCCGATCTGTGCATTTGGGGGAGGTAAGCAGGGTCTTCTTGGAGTTGAACTGACTCCAAGGTGGCATGTTTGGCCACGGAATGTCGGCCTCGAGTTTTATTATATTAAGGTATATTAGAGGAATGTTGCCCCCTGTGGCAGTCTCAGTCATTCAGTTCTGAGCCAGGAGCGTCCAAAGTTCTCCAGGGCACTGCTGATGACACGCTGGCTAATCAGCAGGACTTGGAAGGGCAGACCAGTCACTGGATGCAGGGACTCTTCCTATTCATTCCTGTTATCCCGCAAGCCAAACCACTAACAGATAGGGTGGCCCCAGCTGGCTAAGTAGCAGGTGAGCTTGCTAAGCAGTGCTGTCAATGGCAAGCTATATGGTTTTAGCTCCAACAGTACTCCAATACACACTCTGGGGTCCCCAAGCCTTGGCACTTACCAACCTGCCAAATGCTTTCTGGAATTAAGTAAGGAGGATGCATCCCTTCAAGGAGAGAGTGGATATTCCAAACAATATCTCTAGAATTTCCATGTGTAGATGGGATGCATGGATTATCAGTTTGGTTGGAGAGTCTTAAGTATGGTGATGGGTTTCTGCATGTGTCAGACACCCAGCTGACCAAAAACAAAATCTGTGGAACATAATCCCTTTATCTTGTTCCCTCCCTCTCCAGCTTCAAAACACTTTAAGACCTATCAACTACACTTTCAGCTACTTGTGCTTCATACAGTTTTTGAAATACATTTTCCATCATCTTTTATTCTGTTAAGTTTTATTAATGTTTATTAGCCATTGAATGATTTCTAAGCTTTGCTCCTAAGATAAGTTGATTCAGGAATTGAATTAGATTTATTTTCAGACAGGTCTCATGACATATGTGGGAAACCTTTTGCCACGCTTAAGAGTATAACAATAACTTGCATTTATGTAGTGCCCTTCACAAGGAGTAGAATCTTGGAGTATTGAAAACCAGATAGAGATCCATGCATGTATATCACCTATGCATAAAAATTCCCTTTGTCTGGAATAGAGTGCATACTCTTCCCCCTGGAAGGACACATTACTGTTTACCTAATTCTAGAAACCATTAGGAGTAGAAAGCAGTATTCATATTTTTCACTCTAATTTTTTTTAATGTTGGGCTGAGCAACTGTGGCTGCCACAGCTCTTAGCTGAATGCTGTTTTGTTTTCAGGGCTTTAAAAATGTGTTTAGGTCCAGCTTTATAACATTAAAAAGCTTAGGAATGTGCAATGGACTCTCACCACCCCCAGATAATTTTTACATTCAAAATTGAAGTCTCTTTTTAAAATTAGCTTCAGTACAGACTTAATTTATAATACAAAGCATAAATTGAATTCCTGAAATCATCTCCTGGTAATCTCTGGAGCAAATCTTGGAAGCCAATTCATGCCTCTAAAACCTAATTTATACTATTCTTTCAGCATCAATTCTATTGTAATAAGGCTGACAAATTGATGTGAACTGTGCAGGGGAAGATGTTTACACTTTCTTTCCATACCTATGCAGTAAGAGTGGAAAAAGTCTATAGTTGAACGTATAACCAAGAATAGTGTGTGATCTGTATTCATTGACATTTGCAAGTAACTGATTGCAAACCTCCACTGTCCATCTACATGGACAAATACACTTTAGTAGCCGATTTTGGGCTGACTACATTTATATTGATAGTATTTGATGCTCGTCATTATTGATTTGATCCAATCCTGCTATCAGTATCTCAAAAGAGACATGACATTACACTGATTTTTACTGTTGGTTTAATACATCTGTACCCATGGTTATAATGTACTATAAAAATAGGGAGAGGAAATAGTGTAGAAAAACAAATTAAAAATAAATTAGGTCTCTAATTGTAAAATTAATATTGGACTTGAGTAATCGGTCAAATTTATTCTGAAATCATCTTCTTTATAACAGCTACAGGAGTTTGAGACTGCAGTCAAACAGAGAGATGGCATTATTACTCAACTCACTGCTAATCTACAACAAGCCAGAAAAGAGAAAGATGAAATTCGACAAGAATTTTTGGATTTAACAGATCAAAGTCAAAAGCTACAAATTCAGTTCCAACAGGTAAGATTTGCTTACATTTTAAAATAATTTCTCTGTGCCTTTATGTCTACAACTTACACGTTTGGCTTTGGGACTTCCTCCCGACGTGAAAGCGCTATATCAAATGCAAGGATTATTATTATTATACCTGTGAATTTATTTGCTGCTTTAGATTTATAGGATGAAATATTGTATTTGCAGTGCTGAACACAAATGGATATTTTCTTTGTGATCCAATCCTTCTTTCAAAGTTTGTGATGCAATGTTTTATGCTTTTGTGTCTCCATTATTTGTATCTTATTATGTGAATTTTGTGGGTATAGTTGTTCGGAAAATCTTCTTATTGCACACGTTAGCAATGTGAACCATAGAAATTTATGGCACAGAAGAAGGTCATTCGACCAATCGTGTCAGTGCCGGCTCCCTCGAGCCTTTTCAATCCCACTTAATTACCCGTTTCCATACCCTGTAGCTGACTCTTTTTAAAGTTTCTGTTTAGTTCCCCCTTGAAGGTCAATATGGATTTTGCCTCAACTGCAGCTCCCGGGAGGGCATATCATAACTGCTCTATATATGAAAACATTTCTCACCATTTGCTAGTTTACTTGCTATCTTAATTGATGCCCTCTAGTTTGCTGACTCACTGATCAGTAGAAATAATTTCTCCCTATTTACTCCACCAAAACTGCTCATGATTTTAAAGACCTCTATCAGGTCAAACTTCGACCTTTATTGTTTTAACAAAAAAAGGCCCAGATTCTCTCATCTGTGCTCATAGGTCAAACCACTCAATCACTATATTATCCTAGTAAATCTCATCTGCACCCCTCTATTGCCTTGAAATCTTTCCTAAAGTAGGATGACTGATATTGGACACAATATTATAACAATGTTCTAACAATATTCTAACTGCAGTCAAACTTTTTCATGTATTTTTTCTATTTTGTGCATTACAGTTACAAGCTGGTGAAACTTTAAGAAATACGAGCCATGGTACCACAGCAGTCGACTTATTACAGGCCAAGCAGCAGCTCATCACCTACCAACAGCAAATTGATGACTTGGAGCAACAAATGAAAACATTACAGACAAAGAACGAGGAACACCTTGACCAAATAAATCTTTTACAGATCCAGCTTCAAGAAAGGATGATGGTATGGCAGAATTCCTTTTTAAAAAGAAAAAGCTAACCCCTTTCTTCCCCCAGCCAGACACCTTTATATACATATAATTTGTCGAGCAATTCTGAAAATGTAGCATTTAATTTATTTCATAGCTTTTCAAATAACTCAGTGCAGTTGTGCCATGATTAATTTTGATCAGCATAAACAAAATCAATATATATGTTGGTAACATTCTCTCATTACTTTGGATCAAACTATTTATTTTCGTTGGTACAAAGTAGTTTGAGTCACTCAAAATCTTTTGATCATTACATTGGTTGCAGGCTTACTGCATATGCTTGAAATTACTGATTTAATTTAAATGTTAGTCTGCGCAATATGCTTTGAGTAATTTTAGTACAAATGATTTTTATCACGTCTTCTAGATGTCTCAAAGCGCTTCACAGAATATACTGTAAAGTGAATTGACTATATATTTTGTAGGAGAAATACGTCAGCCAATTGCACACAGCAGTGTCCCACAAACAGTCGTGGATTGAGTGACCAAATTATTATTATTATTATTTTTTGAAGAGATTATTACCCCCGGAAAAGCGATCTGCCAATCGACTAACAACCGGGTTCCTACTTGCTGTTGGTGAACAGAGGTGTGTAGAGTAGGAAACTTGGCCAACATTTTGCCCTGTCCGGGAATCGAACCAGGTCCGCTCATTAAATAAACAAATATAATAAAAACAGGTTAATGGAAAATAAGTGCAAACATTTATGCCACGTCTGTATATTTGCCTGTTTTGAGTCTGACCTTTATTTTAAGGTCTCATTCATATATAATGGGTTTTGCCTTGAGCTAAGTACCCCCCGATCAAAGGAGTATTCTTTTCCCTTTAAACATTTATATGAATCCAGACAATTTTCATAATACTACTGTTACTCATGAATAAAATATATGCCATGCTCAGCACAGCCAATCAGACATATTTTGGCTACACTTTTGCACTATGTGCATTCTTTTGCTTACTTTGTTGACTTGTTGCCCAACCCTGTTCTATTAATGATATATCAAAAAAAGAACTCTTAAGATTCAAAGGCACCATCAATTCTAAAGTGCACCCTACTTTTGGAGGTATTTTAAATGAAAAACCCACTTCTGAGACTCAAGATAATATGGTAGTTCTAACATTACGATTTTAGTAAGATTGTCTTCTTCCAACGTTGGGTAAACAATTTTGAAAAAGGGTAAAAATTGAGGTATTCCAAGATTTGCTTGTGGTAATGACTATAATGACTATATTAAGAAATATCTTACGAGTGTCAAGGTAAAGTAATCTAATGAGTTTGCTGTTCCTAGTCTCTGATCCATGCAGCACACTCCTACAATCCAGCTGTTTGTTTATGACCCAACCGCTTTATGGTTTTATTTACCAGCCTGCTGGCAGTTAGATTGTCAGAGTATACATATTGTGTTGATCACAAATTGGGACCAGCTCCATCATTATTAAGGTAAATCAGAATATTTTACGCCAGTGCTAATAAGATAAGGAATAGAAGAGTGAGTGTTCCTTAATGTGTTCCTTGCCTATGACCACAAGATTGTATTAAAAAATTACAAATGTTACCTATAAATTTTTCAAGTGTACATTTATTTATTAATAATTTCCTATTTGCAAACAGATTGACAAAGAAAAGTCTGATACTGATAGACAAAAGCTCCAGAACCAAGATCAAATAATTGAACAGCTTGAAAAAACACTAAAAGAACATGAGAGTACTATACTGTTGCTGAAAGATAAAGTACATGGCTCTGATAAATTCGTCAAAGATTTACATGACCAATTATTGCAAAGAAATCAAGAGACTGAGAGTCTAAGGACTGAATTAACTAACTCAAAGCAGCGGGAGAGACAGTCATCCAATGAAATAAAGCAACTAATGGGTAGTGTGGAAGCTCTTCAGAAACAATATCACAAGGGTAGTCAAGCTGATTTAGAAACTGTACAAAGGATTGAAATAGAAACTCATCGGAAAATGGAGCAACTTCAAGCAGAATTGGATGAGATGTATGGAAAACAGATTGTACAGATAAAACAGGAATTGCAGCAACAGCATATTTCAGAAATTGGAAGACTTACTGAACAGCATAATATTGAAATGGAAAGAGCCTTAAATCATTCTGTGAGCAACTTAGTTAATGAAGAACAAATTACTTTGCTAAATGTTGCAATCAATGAACTCAATATCAAATTACGAGAGGCACATTTTCAGAAAGATCAGGTAAGGCAAGAAATGACGCAACAACTGGAAAGACTCTCTAAAGAAAAGATCCAGCTGCAAAACCAAATCCAAGATCTCCTGGTAGAGCTGAGATTTGCTAAGGATCAGATTCAGAAAACCTCAGAAAGTATTAACTATCAGGAGCACAAAATGCGTGAGATGGAAGAACTGAAAGATGTTATTGAACAAATGAAGGCCCAGCTGCTATCTGCTTCAGAAGCTCATAGAGAGTTGGAGTCAAAGCATGAATCAGAAGTTACAAATTATAAGATTAAACTTGAAATGCTGGAGAGGGAAAAAGTTGCGGTTCTGGATAGAATGGCTGAATCTCAGGAGGCTGAATTAGATAGATTGAGGACTCAACTTCTCTTCAGCCATGAGGAAGAGCTAGTCAAGCTAAGAGAAGACCTAGAAAGGGAACATAAACTAAATATTGATAATCTTAAAGAAGATTTGTCTTTGAAACAGACTCAACAGTTGGAAAACTTGCAAAATGAGCTGGGTCAAAAAAATGAAGTAATAACATCTGAGAGGGATTGTATGATCATTGAAAAGAACCAATTGATGTCTGAGATAACAATTTTAAAAGAGGAGCTACATTTGTCTCTTAAGAACTCCAAAGTAGAAGAAATGGTTTTTCAGATAAGTGAACTTGAAATGGAAATTGACACATTACGAAAAGATGAGAAAGAAAAGGGTATGATGGAACAAGAACTCCAAGAACTGCAAGACAGGAATAATATTTTGGAGAAACAATTGAAACAGCAGGAAGCTGCGGACATACAAATTAAAATGCTTCAAGAAGGAAAGGAAAATCTGGTAGAAACAAATGAAATGAGAAGGCACATAGAAAGACTTATTAGAGAGAATGAACAGCTTCAAGTCCATGAGAAAGAGCTCAAAGAGGAGATAGAGAGACAAAGGAACACTTTTTCTTTTGCAGAAAAAAACTTTGAGGTTAACTTTCAAGAATTGCAGGATGAATATGATTGTTTATTGAAAATGAAGTCAGACATAGAAGAAAAGATGATAAAACAAGAAATTGAATATGAAACTAAGCTTAAGATCTTAAATGAACAACTGCAGCTCTTAGAGTTGAAACAAGCTGAAAATCGTACAGTAATGAGCAAAGGGAAGAAGAAAACTCTTCACAATTCCAAAGGCCAATTTGAAATGATAAAAACTCTGGAAAGCAGAGAGTTCATTGAAAAGGATTCAACTGAGCTCATGGAAAAACTGGAGCTAGCTCAACAGGAGAAAAGTGAGCTTTCTAAAAGACTCTCAAATCTTTCAGAACTTTTAACTTTGAGACAAAGTGAAATTGAGCAACTGAAAAGCAAATTAAAGTCGATAAAAGAGTATTCCGGAGAAAAATGTGAAGAGACGAAAAAAATTATCACGGCTGTTCAGGTGAAGTCTCAGGAAAAGCACCGAGTATCTCACATAAATTTAATCAAAAATGAGACTAAACGTGAGCCTCAAGAACAAGCTGTTAAAGACTGTGCTGCTGAATTGTGTGAGTTATATGATCATGAACAACAGAAAGGAAATCTAATGGATCAAATAAGTTCTCTCCAAAACTCCCTCCAGGTTATTGCTTTAGAAAGGGATGAGATCAAACAAAATCAAATTAACCTTATTCGAGAAAAAGAAGTGCTATTGACCCAAATCCAGCATTTCAAAGATAAACCAGTAAGTGAATCTGTAGCCAGTCTACAAGCTGAGAGAGATCGTCTCCGTCAGCAGCTGGAGTCTGTTCGCGCTCAACAACTGGGAATGGCTGAACTTGTACAGCAGAAGACCTTGCTGGAGGAAACCCTTCACAAAAAGCAGGAGGAAATGGAAAATATTCTGATTGTTGCTCAGCAGGAGAAGTTGGAACTGGAGAAAAAAATTGCAGCACACATTGGAGGTTCTGTTTCTGCCCACGATCCTGTGCTGGAAAAAACGGAGGTATGTGAATCTTGTAGCAAATACTCTTGTAGCAAATAGATGGTCAGGATGGTCCAAGGCAGTGTCTTCATGATTGTCAATAAGTGGGAACCTGATTGTTAGTCTATTGGTGGATCCCTTTAGGGGGTTATAATCCCTCCAATTAAAATAAATGTGGCCAATCAATCCACGACTGATATGCGCAATTGGCTGCTCACAAAATACAGTCACTGCGCTTTGTAATATATTCTGTGAAGCGCTTTGAGACGTCTCAACGGTGTGATAATTCGCTCTATCAAATGCAAAGATTATCATTATGTTTTGAAATGTTCCAATATGTATTGCTGCAGCGTATAGAAAGGCCATCCCATGGTAATCTACATGGTGAACTTGATGAATGCAGTCATTCTGCTGTTGGCAGTTGGCATGTAGAGGCCATAGCTCTTCTATCTGCCCAATGTAATGGCATCATTGAGATCAATACCCTACTGTGTGAAAAAACAGGTCCTGCCATGTTAAGGCACAACGCCTTGGGGCTTCAACATCTTGCACTGTAGTATTTTCTTTTAAAAACTCTGGGAAACAAAAATAGCTGAAATACTATCCCATAGTCAAATTGAGTTTCCCAGTTTTCCAGAACGTATACTGATAGGATTTTGGGGACGTGGAAAGCCTCATCCAACCTTCAGTGTACTTCCAAGCAAAGATTTAGTTGACTATCCAACCTCTGCCCTGGGTATGGTATATAAAGTTACAAAGTAATAAAACTTTTTTTTCAGACAAAATACTAGTCAACTGGATTTTCATGAGTTCTGCTCTATCGTTGCCCTGACAGTCTTAATGTTTGTCCTTTAAGGAGGTTCACTATCATTTCAATTTGCAGTGCAGTTTAAGAGCCATGATTTGTTTCCAAAACCCAGGAGCAGTTTACCGTTGGTGCTAGCCGTGAATAATCATAGATGGATACCAGGCAGGAGGAAGTGAAAATGCCTCATTTAGAAAAATAATAGTATTTTTCCTTGCAATCTATTCAGAAAGAGCGCTAAGCTATTTTAATGATAAACCATTGCAAAAGTGTGACGAATACCGAATGTGCATATTTAGATTGTGACTTGCTGGTAGAGCATAAAACAGAATAAAAGCATATTGCAAAAAGAGTTGTTTGCAGCTGCAGAAGCAAATGTACCTATAGAGGGCTATGCTGGGGAGTTCTCTCACTGGCAGAAACATAAACAGGCAGATGATGTTCAGCTAGTCTGCTTGCCATTTTATTGGATTTTGGAAAATCTTTTTTCCACTGCTTTTCTCAATGTCCCTTAATATCCTTACTTACCAAATAACAGTTTGCCTCACGTTTATACAGTACAGCTTTTCCCCCTATTATTGCTGCTTAAGTAACTGGAAAAAAGTCTAGGAGCAATATTGCCAGATATCTCCCAGCCTTCATAACCATTATGTTAGTAGCTGTCTAGGGGGAAAAGAACTAACCCACAGATCCCACATGTACACAACAACAATTGCAAAATTACATTTGTATAGCGACTTTCACATCAGAAGGACGTCCCAAGGTGCTGAACAGTCAGGGATTTAATAATAATAATCCATGCATTTGAAATAGCGTTTTTCACATCTTCAAGACGTCTCAAAGCGTTTCACAGAATATACTGTAAAGTGAATTGACTGTATATTTGTGGGTGAAACGCAGCATCCAATTACGCACAGCAGTGTCCCACAAACAGTCGTGGATTGAAGTGACCAATTTATTTATTTTTTTTCTTGAGGGATTATTTTCAGGCATGTGGAGTAAGGAAACTTGCCCAAGGTTTCACCGTGCCGGGAATCGAACCCAGGTCTCTCGCTTGCAAAGCAAGTGCTCTAACCATTGAGCTATAGGACTCCACAGGACTGAAGGTCAGGAACGGAGAGGGTGGAGGGGTAGGAGGGTGGCCACAGGCTTGATTGAAGAGGAGGGTTTTGAGACGTGCCTTGAAGGTTGCAAGGGAGGGAGCGAGATGAAGGGAATGTGGGATTGAGTTCCATAGGATGGGGGCAAAGAGGCTGAAGGCCCAGCCACAAATTGTATAACGTACAGGATGTTCTTTTTAAATGGAAAAGTTGAATCTATATTTGTGCAACGCTTCAGTGTTGGTGCCCCCACTTGAGCATCATTCATAGTGTAGGCAGCACTCCAATATAAATTCAATATGAGTGAAAAGAGACCCAAGTCGTGGGATACTGTCTGGGAGAAAAATGTGCAGGTGGTGGGTTGACAGAATGAACATAGATTAGTCATTTTAATAGAGGACCCAAAACAGGAACTATGGATTTTGGTTGGTATTTTCTTACGAGATGACAAAAGACTCAGAAGGTCCCCACAAAAGGTTGGAAAGCAGTCTCCTGCTTTATCAATCTATATATTATAGAAGTGTTCCAAGCAGTGCCATTTAATGAAGCAGAAGCTTTGTACTGACCTAGACACCCATTTTCCAACCAAAGGGCAACCCCAGTGGTTCAGTGGAGAGATCTGTCAATTGCACACCAAGAGCTCACTGATTTGAATCCTGTGCTCTTCCTGGCAATAAATAATAATTATTGATTTGTTTTACATTTATTTTTGAAAACATTTCCAAGTTTCAGAAGAATAGCAATTAAGAATTCTTTGTTAAGAATAATAACAGAACTGACATTTTTGACTTATAACTAATGTTAGTTCCAGGTTGACTTAATGTATCATACAGCTTTTAATTAATTATTTGCTTTCATCAAATGCTATCTTTATACAAAGATTTAAAAAATCAATGGAATCACTAAATTTTTTTTAAAAAAAGGGGCAAACAAAATAGGTTCAATGAAACCTGTTTTGTAACGTACTTCTACCCTGTTTACTAATGTGGTTTTCTAGCAATGGAAATAAAATTTAATTTTGATGACATCTGGAATTTCAGGTGAAAGATGCACAGCTTGAAGATTCCCAGCGACACAAAGAGCAAGAAGTAGAGGTACATTTATATATAAATATATATATTTATATATCTGCATTTATTTGGCAAATTACTGCAGTCTCCCTCCTCTCTTACCCCCTTGCTCCACCAACCTAAGTGACTAGGGAAGAGATATTGAAAATTCGAAATTGCTTATTAATTTACTTTGTTGTTAATTTGGTGTGTCTTCCATTTTATTTGCCTTCATCTTTGCTCATGTTTCTTTTTCTTTTGTTTCTCTTTTTCTTTCTTCTTTATTGTTATCTTTACCCATTATTTGCTTATACCAGGATAATAATAATAAACCTTAGATTCGATAACACTTTACACATTAGTAGAACGTCTTAGAGCTTCCCAGGGTATACTGTAAAGTGAGGGGCTATGTATTTTGTAAGCAAGCACGGCAGCCATTTGGCGCAAAGCAATGTCCCACAAAAGGGAAGCATTTTATACTGAATGCAATTTTATTATTTCCAGATCATCATCATCCCTTTCTTTCATTGTGTTACAGTGAAATTCCAATAACTCGTCACCCCAAGGGAAATATGACTAATCACAGTTGACTAGTTATCCAAAGTGCAGTATCTCGCAAGTGCAAAGTACTCAAATAGTCAGGATATTGAGTGAGCGACTCAATATCCTGGCTGTGAAGTTGGTCACGTATTCCAGGGGCCAGTTATCAGAGTTTCACTGTATTAATGTTTAGGTTTTGTTTGCCTTGTGATTCAGATGGACATAAAGGGATCATTTTACTTTCATTTTTAAAATAAATTGTTTCTCTTGCAAAGTCATATTAATTGGCTTCTCATTTCAAAGCCGCTTAAGGGATGTTGGTGCAAATTAGCTGTTGGGTTTGCCTGATGAACAGATTTCTCTCAATTTCTTACCAATTGTTAAAGTGCCTTGAACCATTTTTTTTACACACATGAAACGTTATAGGTGCAGGTTGTTGTTAATTAACACCAAATATTGTGGTCAGTCAATGTCATAATTTAGCCACTGGTCTGCAGCTCCAACACCAGTTAAGACAGAATCTGTGTGTTGGGACTCCTGCATTTCGATGATGTGCGAGGGGACAGGGAGGGAAATATGGGGAACCACCATGAATCATTTAAGACATTATTGACTGCATTTTTTAACAATGTGTTATCATCATTGTTAATCGACTTATCACAAGTTCCACTTTTCATTCTAAATTTAGTTGAAATAATATTTTTAAGGGCCGGTGTTGAAATATGTTTCTCCTGAACTAAGAATGAGAAATATTTAGTGTTAAATTTTTGTGAGCTGTCCATACAGATTCTGGTTCAAATTACATAAATTGTTGCAATTTTTTATAAAAGTTAAATGGGTTGGCTGTTATTTACAACAACAAAATTACATTTGTTTTGTGCCTTTCATGTCGGAAGGAGGTTCCAAGGCTCTGGACAGTCAGTGTTTCAGACCTGGGTTTCGGGTCAGTGAGTGACCTGAAGGGAAGTAGCTCATATGACAGTGAGCTATTTTGGTGTTTCAGGTCACGAGTGTTTCAGAACACTAGTGACCTGACAATCCATACCAATTCTGAGCATCCATTGAGAGAATACTAGAGATCTGTCTTGACTAATATTTGCACCCTGGCATTCCTGAAGAACACTTGTTGTGAATGAGGGCACTTTTTCATTCACTTGTGGCTTTAGTTGAACCAATCTGCCTTTTTTGAGGGTGGTTCAGATTGAAGAAAAACACTAATGTAAAATGTAATTTTGATGACATCTGTGTGATTTCAGGTAAAAGATGCACAGCTTGAAAAATCGCAGAGACACAGAGAGCAGGAGATAGAGGTACATCTATCTGCATTTACTGGGCAAATTACAGCAGCCTCCTTTCTCTTACCTCCTCTTGCCTCACCAACCTAAGTGACTAGGGAAGAGATATAAGATTGGAAATTCAATTGGTTTGAATGATGTTTTAAGTTTCATCAACAAATAATGCTTTAAAAACACATGGCTGCGTTCTGATCTTTAAGCTTTTGTGTTTGTTTGACAGGCTGAGATAAGGCTGCACTTAGAGGCTCAGCGCATAAGTCTCACTCAAATTCATGCTGCTCAGCTGGAGCTTACCTGTGATGGTTTGAAAACTGAAAAAGCAAGAGCTTTGGACAGTCTCCAGGAGAAGCTCACAGCCAGCCATACTTTGGAGGTAGAAAAGCTTCACACACTGTACCAGCAGCAATTACAGGACTTGGAAGCCCATCAGAAAGGTACAGAAACTAAGACAGAATGAGATGCTCTTGTTCATATATTAGGTTTGACATAGATTGAATTTGCTTTTGTAAGAAAATATACAATCTCACCATTTAAGTTTTTTTATGTAGATATATATATATACATACATATTTTCTGGCTTTCACTCAACCAAGGTTCAATAGAGTTGTTTTTCATGGATCAACAAGGCAGGGTGGGAGTATGGATTCCTGGTTTTGATGACAGTTCTGTCCTCTGAAATAGTGTTTCAAAACAACCAAGGACTGTGCATAACCTTATGGCCATTTGTTATCAGGGATCTCTTTAGTTTGAGTGATGTAACTGGCTCATTTAGTAATGCGATACATTTTAAGAAGAAAGTGAGTCAGTACCTATCATTAAGGTTGAGAAACATGGTTTTAGACCATCAAATAAGAGTATGTTTTATTAACAGCGGTATTAACACTCTACAAATCATCCTACTTAAAAAGTATTTAAATTTGCCAGAAGTACTGTTTTGGTCAGATCTGCATTTGCCCCCGACATGAATTATTTGCTCTCATGGTTAAAACAAGTGTCTTTCTGCCCTAATTTGTTGATTCATTACTCTTTTACGGTTGTTTTGTAAGCGTATGAAAAAGTCACAATACATTTTAGATAATTTAATCAAAAGGCATACTATCATGTTTGGTTTATTTTAACACTGTAGTAAAAATTACTGAAGCAAAGTCCCAGTAATGTGAGAATCTGCAATGTTCATGGGAAAGCTGTTTCCCATCTATTTTGAATTTAACAAATTGTTATCATTCAGGCTCTGAAGAATCTTCTGAAACACTGATCAACAAGCTCAACGAGAAGATCTCTATCGAATGTATGGAACTCACTCAGGTATTGTAATGAAAACTGATTCAGCATCAAGAAGCACAGTGAAACCTTGTCGCATGAACTCTGAGGACCTTTTGAAATATAGTAAACTCTGATAAGACCCTGACTTAACTTGTCACTACGATGCTGTCAATATCCCAGCTGCTTCCCAAGAATGTTAATTCAGGGACTCCATTTTACTTGTCACTCCTCTTAATACATGGCTACCTGTCATCCCATGCTAGAAATAAGTCGGATAACTCGTCCTTGCACATCGAAATGTCTCGAAGCACACAACACATTTTTTCTGTAAAATTTAGTGACTGTTTATATTCAAGTCCATAGAATCATAGAATTATACAGCACAGAAGGAGGACATTCGGCCCAACGAGTCTGTGCCGGCTCTTTGAAAAGAGCTATCCAAATCAATCCCATTCCCCGGTCTCTCCCCATAGCCCTGCAAACTTGTCCTCCCAAATAATTATCTATTTCTCTCTTAAAAGTTGTTATCAAATGGGCTTCCACCACCTTTTCAGGCAGTTTGTGCACACCAGCATCCTACAAACAACTATGAAGTGCATGATCACTTTACCTGGGAGATTATTGGCCGAACACAAGAAGAACCTCTCTTTTTTCAAATGGTGTGGTGGGATTTTTAATGTCCATCTGAATATGCAGATGTTATTCTCTGAAGGACAGCGCTTCTGACAATTCATCGCTATCCCAGCTCTGCCCTGGAACGTCAACCTAGACTGAGCTCAATGTTGCAACTTGGGGCTTGAACCCACGTTCTTTTAACTCAGAAATTAGAGTGCTAATAACTGAATGACGTCACCTCCGACAACGTAACACACCTTCAGCACTGCATTGGACTATGTGATTCCAAGTCCCACGTTGGGCTTGAACCCACAACCTTCTTTCTCAGAAGTGAGAGTGCTACCACTGGGTCAGCCTGACATACTTTATTTTAAGTAATGAAACACATTAGACCATGACAAAAAAATATACATTTTGTGTGTTTGCAAAAACTTGTTGTGCATCAGTTTGACTATGTTCTACATACTTTGTGTTTTTCATGGTGAGCATCACCTGAGGTAATTGTGTTCTGGTTTACAGTCATTTACGAATGTGCTGGATGAGGATTATTTGGCAAAGAAAAANGGGAATAAGGAGCAGACTAAGGAAGCTTTAGAGTTCGCCAATGCAGACCTATTTGCAAAGGAAGATTATAAAAAGCAAAGAGACCCCACTGATAAAGCAAGAGGTAAGTTAGCAGCTACAGTAGTTCCTTAACAATCAAGTGCTCCGTCCGGCTTGAAGGGTGCTATATAAATGTAAGTTGTTATTGTTGTTGCTAACTAGTATGCTTGTATAGCAGCTATTTTTGCTTGAGACCAACTTTTGGTAAATCATACTGGAAAGCTGATCTTTAGATGTAAATTGTGTGTGTATCAAATTATTTTATCTTGAATTAAAACCACCATTGGATTGTCTGCCAAAGCCAATGTACAATGGTACAGCAATAAATTGTAGGTGAGCAGAATTAACCTACAACTCCAGTTTCCAGCTTTCATTGGTTTCAAAACTTTACTTTTAAAAGAGGCTACTGATTATTCTTTTCAAGAAACTGCCTCTTTGGAGTCAGGACACACCAACCCTGGAAACTTTTATAGACCACCAGCAAATCTGTGGTGTATTCTAAGCAGGGTCAGTTAATCAAACACTGTCAGTTAATCGATTATTGACTTTAACATGAGTTGTTTAAAATCATAACACATAAAGATGCTCAAGCATTAAATTGTGTAGTTTGTTTGTAATCAATTCTAAGGGCTGATTCACAAAATGGTTCTGAGGGTGTGAATCAAAATGCTATAGTGATTTTGTACGTCAGTAACTTAAGAAGCGAGGAAAAACAGCTCTGTGCCACAAAATCATGTAGATCTTGTACTGGTGTTAATTTCGTTTCACCTACCATTCTGGATAACAACCTACAAATGTAGCAACACCCTCAACAGGAACAAGTCCAACCACATTCATCTGGAGGTGGAACTGCAACACTACAGTACAAAAGGCTGCTCTACAGGTTTAGGCAGTGGTCACAGATTCGCTTTCAGTAACTTGGCAAGAAAGCTTCCAGGGCACATTTTCTATAATTGTGTGGATCATTCATGACATTTGGAAAGAAGAAATACAAGTCCTTTGAATGGATGTGGGGAAACATAGTTGTTCTTGCCTTTAGGTTCGTTAAGATTTCATATAGGATTGATTTTTTTTGAGAGAGATTCATTGTTTTTCTTAAATTGGTAATTCTACTGATCCTCATTTGGCCCAACTGTAAAGTTGCTTGTTTTTGCTGTATACACAAAATAACTGGTATAGTACAGAAGCAAGGGGAAATTCCTGTTTATGCCAATTTCGTTATTGAATTTATCCCAGTGATTACAATACTTTACCTGCCACTAAATTCCTTTTAAAGTAAAAGGAACTATCCTTGTTTTAAGTATATATGTGGACCAGGTGTATAGGGCGGCTTCTCAGACTGTGCAGTTTGTCTCCTATTGAAGCAAGGTCTCGGATAAAGAAACCTTTGAGCAGGAGCTGGCAGGAACTATCAGGGAAGCTTAGATTATGAAACAGGAAATTGGGAATAAGTGATTAACCCATTTTGACTTCATTTTAAAGTTTTCCCTTCATAACTAATGGGTCCTTCAAGGAAAGAAAAGTCACTTGCTGCTTTATTTTGTCTGGCCCTTAATAATTCCAAATGCTTTGATCAAATCAACTCCAAAAAATTAAGCTGGAGATTACTATGAAAGATTACTATCTTTGGGCCAAAATGTAGTGGGTGTTTCTTGAGGTCTATTTATAAGGCCTAAGTAGTTAACATGCTTTTTCTAAGCTTTACTGTGTTGACCTGACATCTCTGAGTAAGCCCTTTGGCACCTAAATGCTCCACGAAAGCCTTGAATCTTCAGAATTGTGAAAGATTCCAACTTATAATGTTCCATCCAGTAGAAATTTGCTCTTGTTCTGCTAATCTGTTCGCTACTATATTCTGTAATATTAGGATTACATGCAATTTTATTTTGCAACATTCCATAGAATGCTCATTAAGATTTTTAAAACCAAAATGCAAAATGACACAAGTGATTGAAAATGCTGATGAATATAAAATGTTTACAAGACAAAGGAGAAGCTTTTTCTTTCAATCTTCAATTCACTTTTGAAGTTGGACTAAAGGAGACGATGAGGCTATTTGTTGCTTCAAAAATTGATTCCTCATTTGATTTATTTAACATATATTGTGAAATGATGAATAGTCTAGTCACAGAAGTCAGCATAATGTATGAAAAATCATTACCTTGGGATGTATGGTGCATAATGGTCATTGAATTCTTGAGGGATGAATTGATTTTGCTCCACCTTTGACTGTTGCAACAAAATTGTAAGCAATTTCATCAACGTTAAAAACTGTTTTGTAATAAAGCTCCCATTAGAATACAGCTTGAAGTATTCTAATAAGAGATCATTTATTTATTGAAAGGCTGCATTATAAAGCATATGGTGCTTTTAGGACTTCATGACCTTTGATTAAATAATGAGCAATGTCTCTAACATGGCTCAGATCCCAACTGTTTCCTTTGGTTGATAATTAAAGATTTGAAATCTGATTATCAGTCATTATTTCTGTTATAGCAATACAAACAAAACTGCAGATGTTCCATAGAAAGATAGTTGAGGAATATAGTCGACTAAAAGCTCTTCAAATACAACTCATTGATGACCGTCAACAGGTAAGCAAATGTCCTGTATGCGATATGATATCCAATTATGATCAGTTTTTTAATAAAGTTTTGTTGATTTATTCTTTAGAAATATCTTTGAAAAAATAAAAGCCAGGCAAATAAGACTATCATTTTCAGAGGCAGCTTAATTGTATAATGATTAATATTACAGATTTACAAAGCTAGAATGTTTGTTTTTCTTGTGATGTCAGGGCATATGCATGGATCTAAAATGCACAGTGTCATTTTATTCTAAGGAGAGAGTCTCATTTAGTCTTTCCTTTTGAATCCTGATTGTAATTATAGATTGAAGATCTGCAGGCTGCATATGTCAATTTGCAGTTACGTACTGAAGAGGAGACTGCCAGCTTCCAAATTCAAATCGAAAGCGCACGTGCCAGTTCAGGAGATCTTAATGGTAAATCTTATTTTTGTTTTGCATTTTACAATTTCTATCACAATGACAGTTTGAAACCTAACTTGTGTTGGGAATAATGAGCACGCTTCGGAAACAAGTGTCACATAAGGAAACAAAATTGGTGTTTGCTTTTCTGCAACTGTTTTTTAGATCTTAAGGAGCAATTACAAGTCCGGTCAGCTCGGCTTCAAGAGATTGAAAAGCTGAAACAGGAGTTTAATGAACAACAGGCACAGCTAACGGAGCAACATATACAGGAAATAGAAAATCTTCGGGCTACTCACGAACAGCAGTGCAAAGAAACTGAGGAGAAATACACTGCAGACATCCTTGGACTACAACAGGAGCTGCAAAAAGTGACTGCTTCAATTCCACAATCCAGGTAGGCAACAATTTGAGTTTGACCACCACCCTACGTTGAAATGTTAATTGGAGCACAATAACGCTTGGTTGATCAGCAGTAGAAAAGTGCAAATTATTTAAGGAACTGATAGTGATGCTATAAACTAAATGAATTCTGGCTATTTGAAAATTAAATTAAAGAATATGGGCAGTTATGAATACAAGGAACAGTATTGAGGGTATGCAACAATTTTTTTTAAATCCAAAAGAAACTCACTGTAAGGTTGCTAATTTATTGAGAAAAACTAAGAGTCAAAGAAAGAAAGTATTAGCCCATAGTGGGGAGCTGACAGCCCAAGGGTTTGTCTTAGGACTTTTGCTATTACAGACAGATCATTGTATAATGGTTGTGGATATGATGAGTAAAATGGCGAAATTTGACAATGGTATGAAAATGGGAGACAGAACAATGAATAAATAACCAGCTTCATAATTATTTGAATCTTTTTGAATTCTGTAGGTTCAGTTATGTAATATATAAATGTAAATAATATATGACCAAAGAATTAAATGTCTTTATTTGCTAAAGGATGCATCACACAGATGCTGGTGACAAAAGTCAAAAATAATCCAAAGTAACTATCAGTACTTGACTGAATAAAAACAAAAGCAAATAAAATGCTTAGTTCCATTGGTAACATAGAAACAGGAGAAGGCCAGTTGGTCTGACAAAAATGCTTTGTAAAGAGTTGATGGGAGATAAGAAAACAGTCCAAATCTATTTAACCTTATTGCTTCAGTCAATTTTAATTTTAGGATAAGAATGATAGATGAGGTTAGGAAGCCAAAAAAAAGAGTGGGTTTGTTAAGTCTTGAAAGATTTTGTTTGGTAATAAAAAATGTTTTAATGCAGTTTACAACATATTGAGACAGTTGTACACGCATAAAGAAGCATCACTACAATTACTTAATTTATTTCCTCAGATTTCTTCAGAAATACTAAAGCAGTTGCCTCCCCCAGGAGCTAGTAAGCAATTAAAGTAACTTGTCTTCCCAGAAAACTACATCAAAGTGATCAGTTTATTTGAATTGTTTTTTGAATAGCATTATCTGTATCAAAATTTTAAGTATAATATGATTTCTGAAATCGAGCTCTAGAAAGAAAAATAACATTGCATAACAACAACAAGATTACATTTGTATAGGGTCTTTCACGTCGGGAGGACGTCCCAAGGCGCTGGACAGTGTACAGCATTTCAGACCCGAGCTGGGATTGTGGGGGTAAGGGAGGGGAGGGGAAGGGGGGTGGCCAATGGCACGGTCGAAGAGGAGGGTTTTGAGGTGGAACTTGAAGGAGGCTAAAGAGGGGGCGAGGCGGAGTGATTGGGGGATGGAATTCTAGAGGTTGGGGACAGAGTGGCTGAAGGCTCTTCCGCCAATGGTGGGGCGGGTGGGTCGGGGGACGTGGAGCGGAGGGAGCGGGCGGGTTGGTAGGAGGTTAGGAAGTCACAGAGGTAGGGTGGGGCGAGGTCATGGAGGGCTTTGTCGGTGAGGACCAGGATCTTGAACTGGATCCTCTGAAGGATAGGGAGCCAATGGAGTCGGGCGAGAATGGGGGAGATGGGGTCACCGGGTTTGGTGCGGGAGAGGACACGGGCTGCAGAGTTCTGGATTATCTGCAGCCTGTGGAGGGAGGAGTTGGGAAGGCCGACAAGCAGGGCAGTCGAGCCTGGAGGTTATGAAGGCATGAGCAAGAGTTTCAGCAGCCTGAGGGGTGAGGTAGTGGCGGAGTCAGGCGATGTTACAGAGGATTGACAGTGCATGAGGAGCAGGTACTGGCTATTCCAGGGTAGGAAAGTTTTCACTTAAGAAAGTAACTTGATAAGAGGTATGCCGACACTCCATGGTGTTATATTATGGAAAATAAGCTGAATAACATAGCAAAATTAACTCAACAACAAATTGCATTTATAAAACACTTCATGTCGGGGGATGTCCCAAGGACTGGACAGTCAAGGGTTTACACCCGAGTTGGTGATTAGATTCGGGAGTGTGGGGGCCAATGGGGGGGGGAATGAGGAGATGACCAAAGAAGAGTCAAAGAGGAAGATCTTGATTCAACCTTGAAGAAAGCAAGGAAAGAGGCGAGGCGAAGGGACTTCGGGATGAAGTTTCAGAGAGTGGGGGCAGAAAGGCTGAACGCCTGATTACTGCTGATGGTGGGGTGGACAGAGCGGGCGACGTGAAGCAGGCCAGTGCGAATGAAGATCTTGAACTCGATCCTGTGGGGGGATGGAGAGCCAGGGGAACTGGGCGAGAATAAGTTTGATAGGCTTGTAGAGCCCAGTGCAGGAAAGGACACAAGCTGTAGAGTTGTTCTGCAGGCGAGCAGGGAGTGAGCATCGTCAAGCCTGGATGTAATGAAAGCATGGATGAGGGTCTTAGAGGTTGAAGGGAGAGATCGTGGCAGAGGCAGGCAGTATTACAGAGGTGGGGGAAAGCTGAACAGCTAACTCCCTGTTCATCCACAAGCTGCAGATTATTCAGAACTGCAGCTCGTATCCTCTCCCGTACCAAACTCTGTGAACCGATAACCCCCGGCTGCACTGGCTCCCAATTCCTTGGAGGATCAAGTTTAAAATCCTCATCTCACTTTTAAAGCCCCCCCCCCCCCCCCCCACCACCCAGTCGTATTCCTCCCTTCCTCTGCAACCTGTGGAGTCCTGTAGCTCAGTGGTTAGAGCACTCACCTCGCAAGCGAGACACCTGGGTTCAATTCCAAGCAGAGCGAAACCTTGGGCAAGTTTCCTTACTCCACACGCCTAATAATCCCTCCAAAAACCAACACAATAATAAATTGGTCATTTTCAATCCATGACTCTTTATGGGACAATGCTGTGCACAATTGGCTGCCGCGTTTCACCCACAAATGTACAGTCAATTCACTCTACAGTATGTTCTGTGAAGCGCTTTGAGACGTCCTCCCGACGTGAAAAGCGCTATATCAAATGCAAAGATTATTATTATTATTAACCTCTTAGCACCATACCATCATGTCCACTCGTCAGGCACTGCATCCTGGAATCCCTCTGTCACGCCCCCTCCACTACATCCTTCAAGGCCCGTCTCAAGACATTCCTCTTTGATCGTACCTTTGGCCACCCTCCCACCCCACTACACTCCACCCCTCTTGATTCCAACTCCCAGCTCAGGTGCAAATCCTTAACTGTCCAGCGCCTTGGAACATACTTCTGACGTGAAAGGTGCTTATATAAACGTAATTTGATGTTGAGACAAATTCAAACTCCTGCAATCAGTCAAAGTTTTCGAATTTTGTGGGCCTATGACTAGTCATGACGATGATCCCAGGACACTGAATTATGACGACTGAATTATGACGATAAATAGATTGAATTTGAAATGCTAAATAATAATATAACATTATTACATCAAGAATATCTCAAAGTACTTCAGAATTCTCTGTCAAGTGTAGTAACCATGTATTTATACTCGAACACGGCAGCTAATTCGCACACAGCAATGTCCCACAAAAAGCCCTGAAGTGAATGACCAATTTTACGTGGAAAATTGTTGCCAAGGTCACCGAGAGAAACCAATGCGTAGGCAGATGGGAACTTGGTTTAACTCATAGGATGGCTCCTCTGACAATGCAGCAGTCATTGTCGTGTCAGCTAAGTCTATGACCCATCATGGGGCTTGAACATACAATCTTCTCACACAGAGCTACTGATTGAGCCAAGCTGACACTTCTCTAAATTAAAGAAAAATGCACTAAAATTAATGCTTCTATTTATTTAACTGCTTTACAAAACAGACCACTGGCAGCGAGTTCAGAAAACAATTACAAGTACTAGGGAAGCAGATAGATATATATAATCAGCTACTGTACACAGGAGGTTGATTACACTTTTGAAACCTACCAAAAACACTTTTAAATTATTATTCTAAGTATCAGATATGTGCAGAAAGTGCGTGTCTCCCCCTTGAGGATGTTAAACACTACGACAACAGTATCAATTCAATGTTATGTTAACTCATAAAACGTACTGTTTTCCTCTTTGCATTTCATCCACAAGATATACAGTATATCCTGTGAAGTGCTATGAGACATCTTGACAGTGTGATAAAGAGTTATATCAAAATGCAAATGCAAGAATTATTATTATTATAAACACCAACATGAACTAGTTGGGCCAAATGGCCTGTTTCCATACATTTTGTGTAATTCGATGTAAATTCTTGCATGTCAACAACAGGAATCTAGCTGATTATTTGAAAGATGCAGATATGGGAACTTTAATGCAAATCTTTCATTACGAGTTTGCTATTTTGCCTGGGAACTGTGTCTGGAGAACGTGAAACAATTCCAGGGTGATCATTTTCCCCAGGTGACACTGCTAACCTAGCTTGCTTGGGTTGAAGGAGTATTCGCTCCTGAACAACATAGTCACTGACGCTACTAATATTGGATCAGACTTCTCCTGCTTATATGTGCTATCTCAACAACAACAAAAACAACAGCAACATCTTGCATTTATATAGCAGCTTTCATGCGGGCAGCATCTCAGTGGGCTCTCCAGGGAGGAACTTAATGTTCTAACGATAGCTCCTAGGTATATCTGTCCTGTCCAAAGTGGTTAGCATCAGAGCCCTTTCAGTAGAGTTTGAACCAAAAAGACATAGATTCAACTGTTTCTTTTTCAGTGTTTATCTTCCCAAGCCAGATGAAAATGTACCAAACACATTAGCAGTAATGAATAATACTGTCACATTTGTGGAGAACTAAAAGCTTTTCATGATTAAGTAGATAAGGTAGCATGCTGGTAACTTGGAACATTATTTGTCAATGTTTAATAAATATGGTGATAATGTCAGAGTAAAATAAGCAATTATTAAAAGTTTCAGCAATTAAATTCACTGACTCAAATTATCAAGCTCACATTGATGTTTTTGTTTTCCTTCAATCTTATCTAGGTCTGAAGTAAATGTGTCTGAAGTACAAATGGCTGACATCTGCGCTGTTGGTGATGTAGAACAACAACATTCAGAAGAACTAATGGTAGTTGGAATATTTGTGACAAATATTAATGTTTCTTTATGGATAAATTATAAATGCGTAAATTTAATCTTCTTGCGTTGCAGTTCTCCACCCTGAACAAGTGTACAAAGCAGGTGGAGCATTTTAGTATTGAGATAGTAAAAGTCCCAAATAATAATTTGTCATCAAAGTTTTAGTTGCTACTGTTTTCTTGCTAAGTGTTTATTCAGTGTTGTTTCTTGAGCAACACCACACAAATTACAATGTGGTATAAAGGGAGCTTTGCATAATCCAAACAGTAAATTATCAGATCAAAAATGAATTTTCTTCCCCCTCAGCCTAACATTTTGTTGCCTCATTGATCTTGAATATATTTTAAATCACAATTATCTTCAATTCAGCTATTATCAAATACTTTTAAATATTTCTAAAGAGAATTTCATAAAAAGAATTATGCTGACTGTCAAATCTGTCTTCAACAACCACTCAGGGGACTGAGCCAAAATGGCCTTTTTATAAGAGTGGCCTCTGAGTAAGGGTTTGTTGATGTGTGAACTGGTTATCTGGGCTGTTCCAGGATGGTTAACGGTGTGGTTGTTGAATGGAGGTGGTTGCTTGAATAGGTTTGACTCTATCTTTTGTCCGACAGATTTTTCTTCATCCGTACAACACAAATCAGTTTTAGTGATTAGAGTGCCATGCATTTTAAAACAAAATTCTATGTTACTTTTTTGTCAGCTGGACACTGAACTGGATAGCACTTTTGAACAGCAATGGTTAATGAAACGTCCTCATCTTGCAAGACAGATGGAAATATTGAAAAAGACCTTGTATGCCAAATATATCCAAAAGATATCTAATTTGAAAGAGCAACACAAACAAGAACTAAATCGAATGGAAGCAATGCTAAGCAAACAGTATCTGGAGGATATGGACGTGTTTGAAAAGGAAACTACAAAGCTACCTGAGGAAAGTATTGGAGATCAAGATTTGCATAAAGTAATGCAACCTGTTAATCTGGAGGAGATTACAGAGCAAAAAGATGAACCTCTTCACATTATACAGCTTCTAGAGAAACAACATGAAGAACATATGCATGAAGAAATAGCCAAGGTATAACAAAAAACCTACATTGAGATTGAGGCGCAGCAATATTACTTGATTTAAGCCAGGAATAGTCAACATAAACCATTCTTTCAATCTTACATCTTCAGGATTTTCTCACTTTCTTAATGTTTTTATGCAAAGTCATCTTTAGAGCAAAGTGACAACAATTTGAATATATATAATATAATAATAATAATAATCCTTGCATTTGATAAAGCACTTTTCACGTTGGGAGGACGTCCCAAAGCGCTTCACAGAACACACTGTAAAGTGAATTGACTGTATATTTGTGGGCGAACGCGGCAGCCAATTGCACACAGCAATGTCCCACAAACAGTCGTAAATTGAAAATGACCAATTTATTATTGTTTTTGGTTTTGGAGGGATTATTATTAGGCGTGTGGAGTAAGGAAACTTGCCCAAGGTTACGCCCTCTGCCTGGAATTGAACTCAGGTCTCTCACTTGCAAAGCGAGTGCTCTAACCACTGAGCTACAGGACTCCAAAATATATATATATATAACATGCAATCTCAGGACAATGCAAGTTAATATTCCCTTTCCACTATCCTAAAATTGTCTTAGTCTCAACCACGAAGAGGATGGTCTTCTAATCGCATTATAATTACTATTCTTTTGTCAGCCAGGTGTCAGATACATGCAGGAACCCATCACTGTGTGTCCCTGGGGTCCCCAAGCTTTGGCTCTTGTCAGCCCACACCTAATAGTTTCTGGAACGTCCCTCCAGGGAAAGAGTGCACATTCCATTCCAACAATCTACACCTCTGGAATGTCCATGTGTAGGTGGAAGGCCTGGAAACCTCCGCAGGGTTTGGAAACTCTTAAGCATGGTGATGGGTTTCTGCATGTGTCAGATACCCGGCTGACTGACCCCAAAAAATCCCAGAGCAGGTTTATTTATAGGGAAAGGCCCATTCAGTTTGATCTGAGAGTCACGGCACAAACTCCTGAATTCGGAATGGCATAGTGTTGGTGAGTGTGCAGCAATTGTAGACTTTTCAGAGTTGCCTGGCTGCAGATCAGTTTCCAACCTTGTTCAAACTACTATATGATAATAATCCTTGATTTTGATATAACACTTTTCACGCCTTTGAGACGTCTCAAAGCGCTTCACAGAATATACTGTAAAATCAATTGCATGTATATTTGTGGGTGAAGCTACTGTTATTACTTGAAGTAAATGCACACCTTCTGGGTTGTATTTACATCATTTGCATAATTATTTGCATTATTGGAGCTACCAAGTACATAAGTGGATATGGGAGTTCAGTTTCCATGATCCTTGGCAATCGAGAATATTTTGTTATCAGCTTTAAATATTTTAGTGTATTGCCCGGTACAGTGGCAGAATGAATAAATAATCTTTGCATTTGATATAGCCACTTATCAAGTCTTCTAGACATCTCAAAATGCATCACAGAATATACTGTAGAGTGAATTGACTGTATTTTGTGTGCGAAACACTCAGAGTACAGGGATCCTTATTATAACGTTGAACTTTGGGTTCAACTTTATCGTATGTTGCACTCACGTCACCTTCTGCGTGCTATGTACAGGAATTGACCATCAAATCAGTGCTGGAGTGTGCTGCATTATTGAAGGCGCTGTACTTCAGATGAGTTGTTAAACTGAGGCCGTTTGCTTATTCAGTGGACATTGTAGATCCTGTGGCACTTTTTGGCACTATTCAAAAACAGAAGGTGTTCTGGCCAACAATCCCCCAAATAAAAATTGGTTACTCACTTCATGGCTGTTTGTGGGGAGTTGCTATGCGTAAATTGGGTGCTGCGTTGCCCAGAGAATGCACAATAACTGTACAGTGTATCCTATGAAGTGCTTTGAGATGTCCTCCTGATGTGAAAGGTTGTATCACAAGAGGATTATTATTATTTCCCATTGACCTATTTTGGGAAAGACATTTTTGAGATTATGCAATAATTATTGAAATCACAATTATGGTTTCTTTATTTACTATTCCCATTATTATAGTGAATGCAGCAGCAATATGAATAAAATACCAGTGGTTTGTTTATGATTAATGCCTTGCTCTTGTTCCCTTTTTCTCTTTGTCCACCTCTTCCAATCTTGACCCAAAGTGAATTACTGCTAAACTCAACCACTGATTTCAATACATATAGCTATCCTAAATCAGGATTAACTTGTATAATGCTGCTTGTAGGCTTGTATAGAGACCCCTGCAGACTTATAATCATTATGTTAAGATTTATTGGTTTAATTTTAATGTCTCTTTAAATTGACTCAGTCTGAAGATTTTAAGATTTTATACATTTTGTTGTTTTTGTAGGTGATTGTACAGATGTCCGTAGGGTTTGCTCAGCAGACTGAGCTGGCTAGGATAAATAGCAATCTGCAAGAAGAACCTGCACGCAAGTTAAGCGAGGAAGAATTGGAAAAAGAAATGGAGCAGAGAATGGATACGTTAAAGCAAGATCTTCAGTGTCAATTTGAGGCGGACAGAAAAACGCAGGAGGCACGGTTTTCAGCAGAAAAAGAAGAGCTTGAAAGAATTCTGAAACAGAAGAATGAAGAGCTTGCGACTGTTGAAAGGCGATTGCAAAATTATACAGTTAAACATGAATTGGAAATGCAGGACGTGGTGTCAGGAACCGCACTGCGAGAGGAATTTGTAAAAGCTAACCAGGGACTACAGGGGGAAAACCAGGCTAAGGATATTTTCGGTTTGAATGAAATAAGCTTTGAAAATAAATCAGAATGTATTCATTTGGAGAGTCCAGAGACTGAAAAGGTAAGTTGCCACTTTCAGATATAATGTGGTGTGGTGAACTAAATAATAATGGTCCTTGCATTTGATATAGCGCCTTCCATGATAAGAATGTCTCAAAGCCCTTCCCAACACCTGCTGTGAAGTGTGTATTTTGCAATCAAATGTACATTTTTAAGTGCACCTTGAAGCAATTCGGAACGAGTGCCAATAGTTATAATAGTCCCTGGAGACAATAGTTCTGCAATGTTTCATAACAATGCCCTTATGAACTGTGTATCTGTAGCAAAGATGCTGTCAGAGCTGCTTTTATCCAGAGCTGCATTGATGTTCAAATTGATGTTGGTTTAACTAAGTAATACCATAAATTCATTCCAAATTTACTATTCCCATTCTCATTCATTTAATTATTTGTGTTTCCACGTAATCATCACAATATCAACAACCTTCTGAGTTATAAAACTTGTATTATAAATATTATGTAGTTATAATACAAGCATTATATATATATATACACAGTATAAAATAAATATATGTTCTGAATGCCTTCAGGCTTTCCGCCTCCACTCTTTGGAACTCCATCCCTCATTCCCTTTGCCTCGCACCCTCCCTTGCCTTCAAGGCCCTTTTCAAGACCTTCCTCTACGACTGCATGTTCGGTCGTCTTCCTACCCCAACCCTCCTGATTGCCAACCACCAGCTCGGGTCCAAATCCCTGACTGTCTAGCGCTTTGGGATGTCCTCCTGATGTGAAAGGCACTATACAAATGTAATGTGTTGCTGTGTGCTAATTTATAATACTCTACTTGTGCATAATTATTAGCAACAACTGCTATTGTATAAAGATGTTTTGACTCTTGTAATTATATGTACTGTTGAACATAAGTTTTAACTACGGCTCTTTGTATGTTCCAACATCTCCATATGGCATGATTTTATGGTCTGACCCTTTCCTCTCCAGCTGTGCTGGATCTCACCATCTTCCCTTGTTTCGCACTGCATGAACTTCCTTTCTGCTTTTGTGTCTCTGCTGCTTTTAGTTCTTTATTAATCTGTCCTAATTTTGTTTCTCTACCTTTCTGTCAGATTATGATTTTGCAGCCAACCGGTAGCTCCTTCACACCGTTTTTTTCTTTTACCATCTCCACCTTTCCTTAAGTTCCTGTTTAAGTCCTAAAAACCTATTTTAGAATATTTTGTAATGGAGCATGTTCATTACACTGTATAGCTTATAACATAAATGTAAGTACTTTTATAGCTGTTCAGTTGCAACATGCGTCATTAACCTGAGGTCATAACACTTTATATGAATATGTACATATATACATAAGTACATCTGAATGCTAATTACTTGTTTTAGTTTAAGAGATCAGAATAAAAATGTCTTTAATCTGGTAAAATTTAGCTTTCTAGTAACATAGTGCCAGTTTCAGGCAGGAGTAAACCATTGACCCATTAAGCCTTCCCATCCAACTTTTCAAAAAGATTCCTTTGATATTGTGAAGTCCTGTAGCATTGTAGTTAAAGCATGTGGTCAATTCCCGGGCAGGGCAAAACTTTAGGCAAATTTCCTTACTCCACACGCCTCTGTTTACCTAACAGTAAGTAGGAACCTGATTGTTAGTAGATTGGCGGATCGCTTTCCGGGAGTAATCCCTTACAAAAAAAAAAATCTGGTCACTCAGTCTACACCTGTTTGTTGGGCACTGCTGTGTGCAATTGGCTGCTGAATTTTGTCCACAAAATATATAGCCAATTCACTTTATGGTATATTCTGTGAAACATTTTGGAATGTCTTGACAATGTGATAAGACACTATATCAAATGCAAGGATTATTATTATTTATTTTTTACGCTGAATAATTCTGAATGCTTGAAATATCTAGGCACTTGTCTAGTTCCTTTTTGAAACAACCATTTAACATTTTAAAATGTATCTGGATCAAATATTGAGTTTATAGTATAGAGCTAGGAGCTTTACAGTCCTTGTAACACAATAAGGTAAAAAATGTAAAATTATTGTTTTGTGAAGATAGCAAACTGTAAAGACAACTTGTTCATTCAGATTCAAACCCAGTGTTAAGTGCTGCATTTGATTGATTTTTTTAAAGTAATATCTGTAGAAAGATGCATGAAGAAAACAGGGCAAAATTGAAAAACTCACCGTAATGATCATTATGTATTATTATACTAATAAAAAAGTTATTTCCTATTGAATGCCAGATATTACAAGATTTTAAATAAAATCATATATCTTGCAGGGAAGAAAAGACAGTGACTTTGAGAGGGTCTATCAGGAGAGATTGGAAGACATGAGACAGGAGTTTGTTCGTCAGGACCAGGAGCACCAACAAACTGTGGAAGCCTTACGACAATCCCACACGCAGCAGCTAGAAAGACTGCAGGAAGAGCAGGAGCAGTTGTTAACTGAGATAGGAAAACTGAAGGCACAGCTTGCAGAGGTACGGTTTGCAATGTAATGTATGGTTTGCACTGTAAGGTATCCACCTTATTGATAAACACAGAAAGGCACCTGCCATACCTATACAATGAATTGGACTGAGCTGTTTTTTCAAATCCCAACATTTTAACTGCATGAAGATGTAAAATAACTAAACTATCAATCTGATGGCTTGTAATGGTCTCAATGCACATTAATCTTAATTGGATCAAACAGAGGTTTACATTTTATGTAATTGTGCACCTGTATGAACATACTACAGTTATTTTTTTATGTGACTTGCGTGTTTGAAATGATTATTGTGGCTGCACACACTTCCAATTCACATGTGGAGGGAAGGATTACTTTCAATCAACAATCAAGTTTTTAGTCTCTTAATATATTATTTGACACAGTTGTGTATTGTAAGGTAGGTTGTTCGGTGTTCCCTTTTCTGCTTTCTCCAAGCAAATATTTAGGGTAGTGTACGACGAGGAGGTAACTTTACATACCAAATAGCTGCAGGGGTTCTATTACATCAGCAATTCTTCCTTCAAGCTGTGTTTAAATAGAGGTCAGACATGTCAGATTTTTGAGCTCCAACTTATGGTTTTGAGGATCTTAAAAAAACAGATCTGGGGAGGAATAGCTTATAGAAATGTCTCACATTCTCAACAGAAATTTGAGGCCAAAGGAACAGTTGCCACCAAATATATATGTTTCGCCCACAAATATACAGTCAATTCACTTTACAGTCTATTCTGTGAAGCGCTTTGACACTCTAGAAGATGTGAAAAGCATTATATCAAATGCAAGGATTATTATTATTATATTTGAATAGAATTCTGTGAGCAAAATGTAAAACTTTTAAAATGTCTCCCTATAGTCATTGCTTTCAATAAGTATCAATGAAGATGCATTTCGCCCACAAAATGCACTCAATCTTCTTTAGAGTACATCTTGTGAAGTGATTTGACATGTCCCGGCAATGTGATAAGGTGCAATAACAAATGCAAGGATTTTTATTATTGTGTTCCTGTACTTGAGTCTTGGAAATAACAAAGGTTGTAATTATTATCAGGAAGGCAGCTTGTAGGCATCGGTGGTACGTTCAGGGTGATTGATATAATTCAAAGAATGAGAAACAGTTTATTAAATATATTTAAAAAATTGATAAAATTAATAAATAACCATTTGTCTAGCCAGATGGCTTTTTGAATAAGCTATCCATACTTTTTGAGATTTTTATAAAATTGAGGAATTAACATTACAACTCTGTACAACTGTGTGTTAGTAAATACCTGAAGTTTTGATTTATTGCAGAGTGATCCTGTTTGTAACGAGATCCTGGTCTCAGAAAATGAAAGAATGCTAGCTGAATTGGAAACCTTTAAACAGCTCCATGTTACTGGAAAGGAAGTACTCCCTCAGGAAATGTGTAACAACAGCACACAGACCGACAAGGTAAACTAAACTTCTTACTTAATCTGTGGTTTTCTGGAGTTTTCAATATAATGAAACATCTTTTTAACTTGTTGCTGCACTGAGTTTTTGTTTATAACAATTAAAAATCAAAGTAAACAATCATTGTTAAATGTGTGTTCTGTGTAAGTTGTTGACTGCAGCAGGTATGGGTGGGGAATTGTTTACAACATTAATATGAAGTCTTATGTTGTCATAGTAGCATGCATCGAGAACCCGTATGTGGCTTGTTTTGCCAAGCTAACATATTGCAGATTGCTGGTCTTGGCAAACCATATCCAATCAAATAGTTATATAAAATAATGTTATCTTGGTGCTCATTCCACTTCACCTGAGAACTGTTACACCACCTGAGCTGGTATTGCGTATGAGCTTTATGTTAAAAGGAGATTATTTTGGTGTGAAAAGAGGGGAAGTAAAATGACAGGATTTTTGTCTGTTGTTAACTTTCTACCAATACATAACCTGGCACAGGATGATACGGAAGTCCGAAGAAAATCTGAAGAGCAGTCCAGTGAGCCGGAAGGCTACTCAGCGAGTCAAGGAAAATTTGAAGAATTAAACTCCTCTGTCCTCGCAAGAGAAAGGTTAGCAGAAGGCATTAGTTATTCTTTTCAAGTTTGATTACTTAACGCTGTGTGAAGCATGAATTACCTGACACTTAATTTTCCTGGGTAGGGAAGGGAAATTCAACAATAACAACAACAAAATTACATTTATAGAGCGCCTTTCACGTCGGGAGGACGTCCCAAAGCGAACAGTCGGATGTTGGGGCCCGAGCATGGGGAAGGGGTGGTGTAGGGGTGAGGGAAGGCAGAGAGGTGGGAGGGAGGCCAAAGGCACGGTCGAAGAGAAGGGTCTTGAGACCAGCCTTGAAGGATGCAAGGGAGGAAGCAGGCGAAGGGACCGTGGGATGGAGTTCCAGAGCGTGGGGGCAGAGAGGCTGAAAGTCCGATGAATGGAGGGAGTGGGCAGCACGGAAATCTGAATGTGTAATTTCGAAGTTCAACTGCTGCACAGTGATGATTTTACAGACTAGTATTTGCTTTTCTTATGTGTTTTAAATATTCCCTCTAAGAAAAGGTTATTTACCTTTTGTAATGCTTTCAGTAATATTACCAATGCATGTATCAGTAATAATCCTTTCATTTAACATAATGTTCCAAAATACTTTACAGAGCTTTCAGTCAAGTATAGTGACTATTTGTAGGCAATCACAGAAGCATAAAACAGCCCCATAAAAAGGCTTAAAGTGATTTTTTTTCAATCTGAGGATTGTTTGCCAGGACTATCTTTTGGAATAGAGCTCCTTTAGCACTGCATTGGAGTTTCAGTATAGACTTTAAGCTCACAGACGTGATAAGGGGTGTCAAAGACCTCAAAGTGAGTGATATCACCTGAGCCAGCTGATAATAATAATCCTTGCATTTCATATAGCACCTTATCATATCTTCAAGACCTCTCAAAGCACTTCACATGATATACTGTAAAGTTTAGTGACTGTCCATTTCCAAAAAAAATTAAAAAGCTTTGAATTGGAATTATTTTAACTTATTATAACCACACTTTTCTTTAAGGAACAGTGTATACCAATTGATGGTAGATTGTTGTTATAATTGTGTTGCATATTAAGTGTTCTTTGTCTTCTACCCTATCATGTTGTGTTAATATTGTGTCCACTTACACAGAAATTGTTTCCAGGAGGCCAATGAAAGGCTCTTAAAAGTATTGTCAGAGATTGCAAAGACAACGGTGGCCGCAGAGGAAACTATAAGTAGACATGTTTCAGCCCTAATACAGAGAGCAAGCAGGGCACAGTCTTCTAGATCATCTATGTGGGAACGAGCGCCACAAGAGTCAGGTGAACCACAGAAGTCGTTCTTGTTGTTGAATCAGGGAGCAGGGGGAGGTATGTTTATTATGATTTACATTCGTGTGTATGACTTCATCAGATACTGTCTCAATGATTTGACAAAGGTTAACCATAAAATACAATTGGATTATGCCGTCACTGTAATTATCTTCAGTGGAATGACTGAAAGTATTTTGATCACATACTGGGTTTTCTTCCGCATTCATTTTTGTGCATTTATCCATATTAAACTGCACTTGCTGTTCAGTTTCCTGAAAGTGGAAATTCTTGTCTATCTGGTTATAGTGTTCCTCATGATTTGCTGTGCCTTCTATTTTAGTATCACCCTCAAACTTTTGTTTTATGAGGCTGTTGGCCGGCTAATTTATATAGAGTATATTTTGTAGGATACCAAGCAAAGTGGGAAGGTAGTGCTATTCAAAAACATAATCAATGTTTTTAGAACAGTTTTGGTTAGGGGAGCTGGTGAATAGGATATGGATAATGCACACACAGAGCTCAGTGTGTTGAGAGGATATGAGCTGCAGAGTTCTGGGTGAGCTAAAGCTGTGAAGGGTAGAAATAGGGAGACTCATGGGCAGGGTGTTAGAAAAATTAAATCTAGAAGTGACAAAGTCGTAGATGAGGTTCCTAGTAGCAGAGAGGGTAAAACAAGGGCAGAGACAAGCGAGCAAAAAGGCAAAAATAGTAAGAGGATTCCTTGTTGATTAGAGCTAACCTCTGGAAGGGTGTGTTAAACTAATATCTTGTTCCCTATTCATTGTATTTGTTTCTGCATGTAAAATCAAATCCCTTGTGCATCATCTTAATAATATATTTTAAAAACACTGGAGAATTAGTTAAACATGACTGCCATTCCCAAATCTGTGCTTGCATCCTTTAATAGAATTTGCTTTTAAAAGATCTCTTTAAACATCATGTTTGCTAAGATTGTTGAGGAATCTGATGTCCAACAACCTTTACAACTATGATGAAACTGGCTTTTATTATCAGACCATTCCCAAGCTGCACATTGGTGTTTAAAGGTAAGTTGCTTTGTGAAGTTAAAAAAGCCAAGAAGTAAATTACAACTCTATTTATATGTACCTTCACTGGGACAGATCTATCTATGATAGACATTACCAAGAATCCATGCTTCAGTGGCATAAAGGTCTAAAGGTCTGATGCAGGGATTGGACTGGCAAACATCTGTCTTCTCTTTTTCCTACCTCACAGGACTTCTGTTGTTTAGATATACAGTCTGGGAATAATACAGAACCTACAAACTAATCATAATTGCAAATTGTAGAGAAATAGGGCTTTGTTTGGTTTACACGATGAGCCAGGCTGGCTGTGCTGTCATTAGCAATACCCTGGAGGAATGCCGATGCCTGGCTCAAGAACTGGACTGCAGCGATCATAAGTCTCAGTCTTTGAAATAGATTGCAGATCATGTTCTGCGATCTCAAACAAAGCGACAACCCACACATTCCTCACAAGAACGGGAGCTTGCTCGTTCCTTACTGATCAAACCACGAGCCTGCGATGTGAGCAATACATATGCAATGATACCCAAAACATCACTTGAAATCAGAGCTACTGAAATCAGTGAGATCCCTTTATAGTTCACAGTCTCATTAGAAATAGCAACACAAATACACACTGGAACACTGACAGAGTCTGTGCCTCAGAGAGAGTCCTGTTCACTAGCAGCAGGAGGGCAGTTCCAAGTTAAGATGGAGGTTCTCTACAATCCACGTTTTCAAGAATTTGAAGGACTTGGGACTATATGGAGAGGCCTGGAGTGCCAGCAACATTACTTGCCAGGTGAAAAAGCTGTCTTTGAGCATATATATAATCTCAAGTGGCAGCAATATTCCCAGGTTTGAAAGTCAGCAAAGCAGACCTGCATTTAACTCTATACACATTTTCCACTGTGAATGATACAAGCACAGTAAATTGCAAGTAAATTGTTTATTAAATTGTTTACTTCAATTAGTCTCCCTTGTCTGTTAAACACTTGCATGCATTAAAATTTGAATAGAAACAACTTGCAGTGTGTATTAAACATGGCAGTCTCCAGATTAACACATGGGTGCTTATTTGCATAATTTCTTCTGACCCTGGATGTATCCAGATAAGCAGGATTCACTGTAAAGGCTACTGGGTACGTAAGCAACTGAGCTTGTCCCTTAATAGCACAAAAGTTTCGACTTGTATGTAGTACATAATTGTTGAATACTTGGTGGAACACTGTTTTTTCTCTCATCTGATTCTGAGCATCTGATTGACTGGAATGAAACAGACAGCAGCATTTCATCTCCTACTTCAAACTGTTGGAATGAATGTAACCAAAACGAAATCTTTGTTGGGATTAACAATTTTGAAAATTATCTGCAATTTATCAATTTGGGCACCAAAGACGTGCTGTCATTCGGTTTTGGAAAGTTACATTGAGATTTTTATAAACCTAGAATCTATCTATAATTTAACCATAATTGGGAAACCACTGGCCAATGTCATCACAGGTCAATATTACAAATGCAAATGTTGATGCTTAAGAGATTACCCCAATATGAACTTGCAATGAGGACGGATGCTTTCAGCGAAAGATGTGTGCAAAGGAAAATTAAGACAAAGCTAGACAACTGTAAAGTAATATTTTGAGCAATCCAGATGAAAATAACCTTTTATTAATTTGCAGAAAAACTTTCGGATAGCTATCATGACAGTGAAGGAGGCGATGATTCTAGTATGTGGTCAGGAGGAACAGATGAGGGACTGGAGCTCTCGCAGCATTTCACACAGAGCATCTTCAGTGGTGCTGAGCTGGATCCTGACAATGAAGAGTGTGTACTAAACGTTGGTACCCGTCTGCAAGCAGCTTTAGAAAAACTACTAGAAGCCATCACTGAAATTGCCAGCCAGGTAACACATGTTCCATGAACCTTAGTCTGCATTTGAATGGCTTAATATAAGCAGAGTGTCCAACTTTAATTTTCATTGTGTACCTACCAGGGGTCACTCCTACACAGTAATACTATTGCCATAATTTTAGATCTGTGTAAGATTATTATGACTGTTTTTTTATGTTTTTATCAGCCCTACCTTTTTTGTGTAGAAAATAGATTCTTGGGACAGCATTGAGTACTTCCAGTTTGAATATGGTTCATTATCAAGATATAACATTCTCTGCACAGTCTTAATAATGTACCTTAACTCCAAAAACAGAAGAGCATCTCTGCAACATTACATACTTTTCCATTCTTCACACGTCACTGTGACTAAGACTGCATCTGTTCAGCTGTGTTAAATTGTGAACGTTTTTGTTTTGTAGATTCATGCCCACAGTTACCTAAAGGTTGCAAAACAATATTTAGGGGCTTTAACACTACCAGAGGATATTTTTCATAGAATTACATGGAATGCTGCTGCAGGCTATTTGACCCAACTACTCCATGTCAGTGTTTATACTCCACGTGAGTCTTCGTCCCTTCTAATCCCCTCTCCCATGCCCCTCGATTACCTTATATTTCATATATGCAGTCCCCTTAGGCTGGGTTGTATTTAAGAACACAAGTGGAACCACAGGGGGGCAATGCCTTACTATTGAATGCTTACGTGTTTTTTATTAGCAGATATCTTAAACTACAAAGGGCTTTGGTGTTGATTTAGCTAAAACTTGTTACATTTCAAAAGCTGTGGGAGTTGGCACAGAGAAAGGGGGTTGATTTCATCCATTATTCTTAATAAGTGATTCAACAAGTTCCCCAATATCATACATATATGGGTGTGCTACATTGTTGAAGGTGCTGTCCTTCGGATAAGACATTAAAGCCAAGGTTCTGTCTGCCCATTCAGGTGGATGTTAAGGATCTCATGGCAATATTTGAAAAGGGAAGGGAGTTTCTCCCGATGTCCTGGTCAACAATCCCCCAAATAAAATAAAACTCTGATAGCTTTTTACCCCAAGAAAAATAGCTCAAACGACTGTGGAGTCCTGTAGCTCAGTTGTTATAGCACTCGCCTCACAAGCAAGAGATCTGAATTAGATTCCTGACAGGGCGAAACCTTGGGCAAGTTTCTTTACTCCACACATTTGATAATAATCCCTCGAGAAAAAAAAAATAATAATTTGGTCACTCAATCCACGACTGTTTGTGGGACACTGCTGTGCGCAATTGGCTGCCGCGTTTCGCCCACAAAATATACAGTCAATTCACTTTACAGTATATTCTGTGAAGCACTTTGAAACGTCTAGAAGACCTGAAAAGCGCTATATCAAATGCAAGGATTATTATTATTTTATTATTATTGTTACCAGAATTGACTAGTTATCAAAAGTACAGTATCTTGAGAGTACAAAGATCTTGAATAGCCAGGATGTTGAGCTTCTGGGATCTTTAATAAATCATTCTCTAATCATCACGATCCTGGCCAGTATTATGTCCAATAGATTTGTAACAGTCAATTAATAGTACAGAACAACACAATACATGTCTGTCCTGGAAGCTGGCAGAGACTGTTCCTTAATTGTCTCCAGCTCAGCTCAGCCAAGCACTTTCCAGTCTTTTATAAGCTACTTGTACATGTTGACCCTTAATTACGTCTGAAACAAATTATTAGTTTAGCACATCATTCAACTTGTTTTTGACTCTTGACTTGATGTCTGCACCAAGTGATTAGTTGATCACATTAGCCCATTATCAGGACAATGAATTAACATTTCAGGTCGATAACCTTTCATCAAAACTGGGGGATATTGGAAGGAAGCAGATTATAAGGACAAGCAGAGAAGGGGGCGGAGAAAGAAAGACAGAGGAAAATTTAGGTGGAGGACAGAAGTTGACGAGATCAGAGATGTTTATGGTGCAAGACAAAAGGAGACAATAATGGAAGATTCTAGAAAGAAAAGCTAGTAATCCTTGCATTTGATGTAGCACTTTTCGCGTCTTCTAGACATCTCAAAGCGCTTCACCGAATATATTGTAATGTGAATTGAGTATATTTGTGGGCGAAACGCAGCAGCCAATTGCACACAGCAGTGTCCCACAAGCAGTCGTGGATTGAGTGACCAAATTTTTTTTTTCTTGAGGGTTTATTATCAGGCGTGTGGAGTAAGTAAACTTGCCCAAGATTTTGCCCTGCCGGGAATCGAACCCAGGTTTCTCACTTGCAAGGCAAGTGCTCTACCCACTGAGCTACAAGAATCCATTATGTGAAATTGTTGTGCTCTGTTGTGCGTAATTGCCTGCCGCATTACGCCCACAAAATATACAGTCACTACACTTTACAGTATATTCCGTGAAGCACTTTGAGATGTCTCAACGATGTGATAAGATGCTATATCTGCCTATATCTGGCATTCAGGACTCTGCTGCCCACATACTGACCTGGACCAAACTCCGTACCCACATCTCACCAGTTCTGGCCGGGCTCCACTGGCTTCCTATCAACGAACAGATCGACTTCAAGATCCTCAGACTTGTGTTCAAGTCCCTTCACTCTCTGGCCTCCCTACCTCTCCGACCTCCTCACTCCCCAATCCCACCAACCGGCGTCTAAGCTCAACTGGCACCAGTCTCCTGCTCGTCCCTCTCACCCTCCGCCCCACCATCAGAGGTCGCACTTTCAGCCACTACGCCCCGAAACTCTGGACCATTCTCCCTCAATTCCTCCGCCTTGCCCCCTCTCCCTTTTTTCAAGTCCCGCCTGAACACCTTCCTCTTCGACCATGCTTACGGCCACCTCCCCCCTCTCCCCGGCTCAGAGTCAGGCTCCACCACTGTTAAGCGCTCTGATGCGCTGCCCTGCGTGGAGGCCACTATATAAGTGCAAATTGTATCAAATGCAAGGATTATTACTTATAAAAAGAATAAATCTGAGTGAATTATGTTTTCCCAGTCCTTCATGTGTGTCTCTTGGCCACATCAAGAATTAACATTATCAGAGGCTTGTTTGCCTGCATACGTTTCTCAGCTGGTGGTATGCTGTATGACATGAGAAGTAAACTTTAAGCAATTTTCTAAAATATAACCTTCATATTGGACATTAAACTTTTAATCTTATTTTTAGCATTGAGCATTAAACTGTAGAAACATTAGCATATTTTTGTCAGTTCATTTCTGTGAATCTTCTACATGGCACTTTAAGCTTGAAGTGACGTGGATGTTGTGTTATTCCAGTTGTAGGTGGGCGGGTCTTTGTTTGCAGTATCACCTGCTAAGTTACTTGGAGGTATGTCAGGCCACTCCCTCTGTTCCGTTTGAATGCTGAAGTCCCGGAAGCAGTCTGCTCTTGTACTGCTGCAAGCACAGTCATTTTTTGATGAAAAAGTAACTGCTGGAGAGAAGAAAATGTCGAATGGTGTATGCTTGTGTTTTGTCAGGAGTTTACAGATTAACAGGCTATACAAAGGCTTTCAGTGGTCTGTTTTTCTATTGGAACAGGATCGTTGGCTGGAGTTCTTTGGGGTGACACTGACTTGCTGCTATATGTGTTTCTAATCTGAAGTGAACATGATTGACTGAGTAAACTTGTTTGGGTTATTGCTTGTGCATAGCCCGCAGAATGTACATTATTTTGTAAAGCGTTTCTGGACTTGTTAAAAAGGAGTTCGTACGAAAACTTTGAACCCAGATGATGTGTCTACCTGTTGTGACAACTACATACTATTCGCTATCTGTTCATTGTTCGCTTCCTGCCTATGTTGTGAATTTAGCCTGTTTGCTAAAGGCTTGTATGGTGATCCTGCAGATACAATAATTGCTGGTCCAGTGCTGAATCCCATTAGTGGCTCAAAGGCTAATTTGATGCAAGCATTGGGAACAACAAGAAGGTATAACCTTGTATGCTCTGAAATGAAGCCCATGTCATGAGTTCTATGAAATGCCTGCTGATATGGAATCTATTCAACAATGTTCTACTACAGATTTGTTAGATGGGGTTTGGTTGGAAGGAGAGGAAGATGAGATTTATGAAATTGAATCTCGAGTGCCATTACCACAACCTTTAAGGTACCCAACCCAGTTAACAACAAACAATTCAGTGGTAGTGCACACTGCAATCAGTCATTATAAAAAAGAGGAAAATCGACACATCTTAAAAGTGATCTCGCAGATTTCCTTGCCTTCGCCACCATACACAGTGAGTACTGGAAACCATTTGATTGAGTGTGACATAGAATAAAATTTAGGAATAATGAGGTGGATTTCAATGCCAACATAGAAATGTTTATTCGATGAATACTATCAATTGAGTATGATTATTAGTTCTGACTCTATGGACCCAAACTTTTAAAACGATGAGTGGAATAATGTTGCTTATTCGTTAGAAGAGTTGCATTGCAAAGATAATTAGGTAGTGTTGAATGTTTTAAGTGCAGGAATACCTTAGTGTTGAGGATGGACAGTGCAGAGCTGAGTGAATATTGTAATTCATGAGGGTTGTAGCTCAGTTATAAATTGTAAGATGTGTTTTCATTGATGGTTTCAATTTGTTCCTGTTCCTTTTGGTCTGATTGGGATGACATGCTAAGAATAGTTTGACATGTAATAAAAGTGTACTAGGAATCTGTGTTTCACCATATTTCACAATAATTGCGTGCTATGATAACAGTTGATATAGAATTGAAAGGTCATTACATACTTGGCAGAGAGCCAATTAATTAGTGACAGAAGTCATCGTGGTTTCTCATAGTTTCACATGAGATAAAAAAAACAGTATTTGGGAGGATGACTGCAGGCTTTATCATGTGATATAATTTGAATGCAATGACACCCAGTTCACTGGGCGTTTTGTTAGGATTGTTAGAGGATTTGAATTCTCCAGAAATTAAGAACTTAATGATGGGTTTCGCTCATTTCTTGATTGACACGCTGTGCTTTTCCAAACGTCTGCACTTTTTTTCCCAAATTGCTTCCAGAATG